AACTCCAGCTCCAAGGGACCCAATGCCCTCTGCTGGCCTCTGTGGTCACTGGGCATGTGTGTGCCTACTGCACAGATATGCTTGCAGGCAAAACCTCCACAACCGTAAAATAAAGTAAAATGATCAAATCTTTAAAAATAAAGGCTATAAGCCACAGCTGGGTGGCTCATGCTTTTGATCCCAGCGCTTGGGAGGCAGACATAGGCAGAAAGATCTCTCTGAGTTTGAGACCAGCCTGCTCTACAGAGTGAGTTCCAGGACAGCCAGGGCTGCACAGAGAAACCCTGTCTTGAAAAACCTTAAAAAAAAAATCAACAAGAATATAAGCCATATTTTTAAAAGTCATTTGCCCATGGAGGCTGGAGAAATGGCTCAGAGGTTAAGAGCATAGGCTGCTCTTCCAGAGGACCGGGGTTCAATTCCCAGCAACCACATGGTAGCTCCCAACCATCTATAATGAGATCTGGTGCCCTTCTGCTGTGCAGATATGCATGCAGGAAAAACACTGTATAAATAATAAACAAATCTTAAAAAAATCATTTGCCCTTCCTAGGATTTGAAAATAAATGTAAGTGCCAAAATACAGGTACAACAAATTAAAAAAAAATCTCACCCATAACAATAGAAAAAAACTTGAACAGGTTTTGTTTATAAAAAGTCTGTAAAAGTGGGGCTGGAGAGTTTGCTCAGAGGTTAAAAGCACTGTCTGCTCTTCCATAAGTCCTGAGTTCAATTCCCAGCAACCACATGGTGGCTCATAACCATCTATAATGAGGTCTGAATGCCCTCTTCTGGCATTCAGGCATACATGCAGGCAGAACACTGTATAAATAATAAATGAATCTTAAAAAAAAGTCTGTTAAAGCCAAGTATAGTGGCACATATCTTCACTCACAACACTCAGGGAGATAGAGGCAGGTGGATAGCTGTGAGTTTGAGGCCAACGTGGTCTACAAAGCAAGTCCAGGACAACCAGGGCTACACAGAGAAGCCCTGTCTCTAAATAAATAAATAAATAAATAAATACTGCAAAAATGCCTAATCCACATTACTTGGCACTAGCCTCCTGGAGGACCCGGGCACAGTGGGACACCCAGGAGCAGGAATCAGCATTCTCTGTGGAGGACATCACTCTAATGTTGGTTCTTTTAATTTTCCCAGTGTGTACACCCATGATATATTTAGTGTTTGCCACTAAATTAACCGCACAGTGCATTATGGTGCTTGTTTAAGCGTCTTTGTTGTGCATTATAGCATCTAATTTCCACTTCAAAGTAATTGGCTTCCGTGAGTCTTTTTTATTTTATTTATTTATTTTTTTTAGGCCCCTAAAAGCACCATCACTTAATGACTTTGGATGAGGCTGGCATAGTAATTAAGTGATTTACAGTTTTGGTAAAAGTGAGCGTTCAAGTGATTATCCAAGTTACTAAATAACTCAAAACATTCTAAAACACTAGCAACAATGGGTTCCTTGACGGGACAGCAGCACTCATGCTAAATGGATGCATTGTGGCTCACATTAAAGTACTACAGCGCCACAACATCCTAGCAGAGTGATGCAGGCCAGCGTCACAACACACACCGAGCTCCCAGTCACGCATGTTGCCGCTTCTCTGTCACGACGCACGCCTTAGGGGAGCGGGGAAGACTGAGCTTTGTACCCCAGTATAAGGCACGGTCACCATGTCTTTGGTACACTGTATTCCTGGGTGCTAAGGGGCACCGTCCTCCCATCTTTTCTGCATCCCCGTTTCAATGTGCGGCCATTCCAAATACTTGGAAGCCAAGGAGAACGGGTGCCAACCTTCTGACGGTCCCGCTCTCTCCAGTGGCCATGGGGACTGTGACAGTTAGTGCTGTCAATCCACAATCACTGTGGCAACGGGCCTGGGAGGATCTTCCTAACTGGGTTAGCTGGGTGGAACACCCACCCTTGATGTGGGCGGTACTGTCTCCCCGGCTGGGCCCCAGACTGAATGGGAAGAAGGTGCCTGACCCTGCATCCATCCCTTGCTCTCTGCCTCTACACCTCAGGGGTAATGCGGCCAGTTGCCCCAAGCTCCTGTGTCCTGACTCCACACCATGACGGCCTGCACCTTGAACCATGAGCTGAAATAAAACCTTTTCCCCTTAAGCTGTTTCTGTCCACGTGTTTATTTTTATCGCAGAAACAGGAAAAGATACTAAGGCGACCAGTATTTACTTTTTATTGACAAAAATGACTTTATTTGGTGTGTAGAGGTATGGGTCACGTAATGATGTCTGATTGACAAAGGCCACGTGGACAACAGTGGGCTCATAAGATTATATGATGGAACTGAGGGCTCCTATGCCTTAGTATTGTGGCTTGAATGTGAAATGTCCCCCAGAGGCCAATGTGTAAATACTTGGTCTCCACCTGGTGGTTCTGCTTGGGCAGGTTATAGCACCATGCCTCTGCTGGCCAGAGTGCACTGGACAGGTCTGCAGCCTGTTGCTGGAAAACCCTTCTGCCTGTGATAGACAGCTCAGGTATATAGCAGGCCATACTCTCTGGGTTTCTGGAATCATGTTCCCTGAAGACGAAAGGCCTCCGGAAAGCAGCAACGGTATTCTAGTCCTCCGTCTGTCTCTCTGGTGCATTCTGGGCTGAGGAAATGGCGGCAGGAAAGCTTTGTGGGGGACTCAGGGCCACACTAACCCTGGCCTTCTGATCTCCACCCTTGCTTGTGTCAAACTGTTCACTCTCTGAGAGAATGACACCACAGACGCCGTCACTTCTACAGAACACTCGCACCATGTGCTCAACCTTGTCATTGGATGCTCAGGTTCTCTTGCTGACTACTCAGCCTGTAGATTTCAAGCCGAGGCCCAAGACATGGGCCCAGTCATGTCGCAGCTTCCCCACAGCTGCCTAATCACACACACACACACACACACACACACACACACATATATATATATGTAATTGTAATACATATATATGTATTACAGACCATTTTATGAGTCTGAGAGAAAAAGTACAGGGCAGACAGGCAGGCTGTAAAGCGCAGCCTCTGGGAAGCAGGAGAGGAAGAGGCAGTCATGCCTTTGGAGTTAGGGTCAGTGATGGCCATGTGCAAGCAGTTGTAGTGCTCCGCTTTGGACTAAATCTGGAATGGCACAGAAAGATGCAAGTTGAGGACCTAGAGAGAGCTCAGACTGCAGCAGAGGGTCATCCAACCAGGTATCTGGTGGCCAGAGATCCTTGTTGGCAACAGTTCCTGGGTGTGGAGAGGTTCTGAGGAGACAGGGGCATCAGATGTAGGTTCTGAACACTTCACACTAGAGTGAAGGACGTGCTGTGTAGGAGGAAGACAAGGCTCTCCCAAGTGGTCCTACTGATTTCACACACAGCCCACAGACATATACTGTGAGCAAACAGCAAGTTAGGGGGTGCTGTGCCCATCTTAGACTAGAAAACAGCCTGTTAGGCTAGCTTCCGGGTGAACCAGGAAGGGAGATCACCAAGCGATTTCAACACCAGCTGACTGTATGTAGTCAGTGGACAGGGCACCCTGAGGTGTCGCATGAAAACATTAGCTGAGAAAATAAGAGATTTCAGACTCCCCACAGTAGGATGCTATGAAGGACTGATATAAATACAAAGCAACAGGGCAGAACTGAAAGCTGTCAGCTTCTTCAACCACGAACAACTTCTAAAACCTGCTGCCGCCTCCTCCACCTCCGCCTCCTCCGCCTCCTCCTCTTGGAGAATGATGTTATTCTCCACTTCAGTGGCAGAATAGGAGCAGGTTACGATGGGAGTTCACGAGTTCCCACGCTGCCCACCCACTCCCTGCCTCTATGCACACGGACAAACCGGCGGGCAACACTACTGCCATAGCTAAAGGCTCCCCTCCCCTGAACACCAGACTCCAGCTCCACTCACTGCCCCAAACACAACTTCCTTCCATCCTTGTTCTCCTGGTCTTTTGTCAGCTTGCCACAGACTAGGTCACCTGGGAGGCAGGAACCTCGATTGTGAGGAAGCCGCTATCAAACTGGCCTCTGGGAAATTTTCTTGATGATTGTGAGGGGGGCTCAGCCCCCTGTGAGTGGCAGGTGGTCCTGGGTGGAATGAAAAAGGCTGAGCAAGCCAGTAAGCAGTGCTTCTCCATGACTCCTGAATCCAGGCTCCTGCCAGGACTTAATACAGGTATAGACTCTCAGCTGTGAGATTGAATGGGCCCTTTCCTCTCCAAGTTGCTTTTGGTCATGGTGTTTTTATTGCAACAGTAAAAAGCAAACTTCCCATCCTAAAATTCCTATCAGCACATAAACATGCAGTTACTGTAATCTTTACAAAGAAACCTTAATTTTTCGAAAAAATTACATTTACACCGGGTGGTGGTGCACGCCTTTAATCCCAGCACTTATGAGGCAGAGGCAGGCAGATCTCTGAGTTTGAGGGCAGCCTGCTCTACAGAGCTAGTTCCAGGACAGCCGGGGCTGCACAGAAAAATGTTTCAAAAAAAAAAAAAAAAAAAAAAAAAAAACCCCAAACTTATATTTATCGTGTTTATGGGGCTTGACAGATTCTCATGCCCGTGCCAGAGTGTGCTGGGGACAAGAGGACAGCTGGTTCTCTTCCTCTACCAAGTGCAGGTTGTCTGGCTTGGTGGCAAGTGATTTTACCCGACACTGTCCAGGAAAGCCGAAACCTGGACGCCATCACTAGGGAAGGAGACTGACCAGCCAGGCTGCAGATCCTGACTGCTCAGCTGGCCGCGGGCTGTACAGGGAGGTCTGGGGCTGCAGCTGCCATCACGCACTGGGGCAGGATTTTCGTGACGCAGCTGCTTCTGGGCCACCCCTGCTCCTGTAAGCACCCCCCCCCCCCCCGCCCCGTTAGTAATCTCAACAAACTCACCGGCTTGCTCAGCTGGTGAATTTTCACTTTGGTCTCACCTAGGTCTTCTTCCTAGGTCGAGTGGGTGTGAGCGCTGCATTTTTCCCCAGTAAAAGTCCACAAAAGAGACATCTACTGTGATTTTAATCTGGTACACACGGGGGCAACTTTTAGGTACCAACAGATGAAGTCCTCCCAGCCTGTAATCCCTCCAAATGAGACCTCACGGAGGTAGGCTCTTACAGATGTCATGAGGTCATGTTTCAGTAAGGTGGGACCCCGATCAGACGTGTCCTGATAAAACGGAAATGCAGACAGACATGCGCAGTGAGAACAGATGCGAAGGCTGAAGAGCATGCGGGAGACGCAGAGCCGGTCTCCGGCAGGCAGAAGGGAGGGTACTTGCGGCACCGGGGCTGTCTGCTGTCTCAGGTCTGTGAGATGAGATCCGCTCTTCCGGTCAGTAAGGCAGTTTCTTCCAGCAGCTGTACAAAGCTCACAGACCCTACACATCGCTGTTCCCTTCAGCTGCTTTCAAAAAAAAAATTTTTTTTTACATTTAATTAGTTTTGATTTTTTATGTCTCAGAGTTAAAAAAAAAAAAACTTTAAAAACTACACTGTTATGGTATGTGCACATGGCTGCACCTCAATCCGTGTGTGGTCTGAGGACACCGCTGTGGAGTCGCATCTCTCTGTCCACCATTACACGTCTCCGGGGTTGCTGGCTTGCAGAACAATCACCTCTACCAGCTGAGCCCTCACTGGACCTTCACGTTTTACTCTGCTGTGTCTTATGATTTTTCTGTGTTCGGGGCTCACTGACATTCCATTTGCAGACTTACTTTTTTTTTTTTCCATCAGGCTTGAAAAAAACACGTTCCCCCAGCATACAGCACTCCCGTCTATCCGCGGAGTCTACGCAATAAAGGCAAACAATTCAGGAATCACAGGATTGTGATTCGCTGCATGGCAAGCAGAAGGCACAACTAGACAGCTAGGGTACAGATCATCAGAGAACAAAACTACCTACACAGACAGCCCCACAACTTCCTTTACAAGGAGCTGTGAGTCTCAGAAGACCAAGCAAAGAAAAGTAAGTATAAGGGACACATTTTGACAAACTTGGTAAGAATTCCATCAGTGAGTTTTTTTTAAACACTTTAGATTTTATGTATTTACTTATTCCGTGTGTGTGTGTGTGTGTGTGTGTGTGTGTGTGTGTGTGTACACGCCATATCACACTTGATCACACTCAGGCTGCCAGGCTCATCAGCAAGCACCATTTGCTTGCTGGTCCTTGTCAGGGCCTCTATCAGTAATTTTAAAAACAGATGGTAAAAGTCTATCTGCAACAGCAACCAAATCTTTTAATTATTAAAAATTTCAGAAAAATATCACTATTGATGTGCACATGTATTCACGTTTTCAGTTTATATTCGTACACATGGAATCCATGTGCGCTCACAAATACGTGTTTACCTTACTGAGAGACGTAAAATACGAACGGAAGAAACAGATCATCTTGGGATTTCTGACGGGTCTCAAAGGGCGGCTTTCCTGACCCAAGGTCCCAACATCTCAAGCAGAGGCCGCACACAGGTCAGGAGGTCAGGGTGAGACTCTCATCACCAGGACTGAGTTGGATGATACAACTTGCTTTGGCCACTCCAATTTGCCAGCTTAATCAAGGCGTGCAAGGCCCATGGCCAGATACCCAGTGGCCTTATTTATTTATTTTTTTATTTTTGTTTATTTTTTGGTTTTTGTCAATGAACTAAACTCACTTCATTGTCCTAGGAAATGTACAGCACAATCAGAGCAGGGCTGCGTTTGTGGAAAATCCCACTTGTGGCTGGCTACCAGCACTGGACATTAGCCCCCTACGAACTACAGACATTCTGGCTATGCACTCATTCATACGAACTGATTCTATTTGGCACCACGGAGACCTTTTCTAAGAGGCTGATAGGTAAATTCTAAATAATACCCCTATGGACACGTTTATTAGAAAAATCAAGGTATTTTTTGAGAATACTGACATAATTAAACCGCTAACAGAGGCATTTAAAAACACTAACAGCAGAGACACTTTTGATTTAAACACTCCCCAAATCCTCTTTGCTATTCAAATCTGCCTGTTCCACTGTTGTCATGGTAACTGCAAATGCTGTTTTCTTGGCTGCAGACACTTACAAGCTACCTTATGCCTCTCACTGGATTAGAAAAACGCAGTGACTCGGCTTTGGCAAGTGCTCGCTCATGTGTGGGAGTCACTACAGGTGGGCAAGGGCACAACGGTTTGTCAGCCTCTCCACTGCAGACAAAGGGACTAGGGTCTGTCACTAACAGAAGACGAGCAGGTAGTAGAGTCTGAGCTGTTAATACTGTAAACTTGTAAACACTCAGTTATCACAGGAACAACTGGCAACGGGTGATCCCGAACCAAGACTGGCTCCTCACACCCGGCCACATACACGATGCAAATTAACTGTGGAGGTGACCAAGAAGGGAGGAGTGTTTGCTTCAAGGTCTGAAAGGGAGGCAGGCACGCCTGGTGTAAGGTTTGAAGTGCTCAGTGTTTTCACAGTTCACACTGAAAGTACGATGTTCATAAAAGAAACTGTATGTCACCCCCGAGAGCTCTCTGGTGTTAAGAGATGTTTCACTTTGGAAAAAAAAAAAAAAAAAAAGAACAATAGTCCCTGTGTGTGCTGACATGGTCTCACTCCTCATGTATAACCCAGGATTGGAGCATTATGTAAATTATTTGTTGCCTGGCTGGAATTTACTTCTTGTGAGTTTTCTGATGTAAAAGGAAGTTCGATTTGTGGCGAAACGTTTTCTTACACATACTACATTCGTAGGGTTTCTCCCCTGTGTGTATTTTCTGGTGTTCAGTCAGAGTCCAGAGCCGACGGTAGCTCTTCCCACATTCGTTACATGCGTACGGTTTCTCCCCCGTGTGAATTCTCTTATGCACTGTGAATGCTGACTTATGGCGGAAAGATTTCCCACATTCTTTGCATTTGTGCGGTTTTTCCCCAGTGTGAGTTCGCTGATGTTCAGTGAAGGAGACCTTCTGGCAGAAGGTTTTCCCACACTCTTTACACTCATAGGGCCTCTCTCCTGAGTGTGTCTTCTGATGGTGCCTGAGCGCGGACTTCCGGCAGTAGGACCGCCCACATTCATTACATTCGTAAGGCCTCTCCCATATGGTTCTCTTGTGTGCAAAGCGGCGTGAGGTTTTGTGGCCCGTGCGCTTGTGCTCACTGGCCTCACCAGGCTTCTCCTTTGTGTCCCCTCTTTTCTGCTCACTGCAGTTTGACTTCCCGGTGGCTGTGCGGCCCCACTTACTGACCACACCGTGCTTCTCTCCTATGTGAGTTCTCTGATGTATCGTGAGTGTTGACTTAAGGTAGAAAAGCTTCCCACATTCGTTACACTCGAAAGACTTTTTTCCTCTGTGAATCACCTGATGTGCAACCAGGGCAGACTTGGTGCACAGAAACTTCCCACACTGGCGGCATTTATAGGGTTTCTCTCCGGTGTGACTTCTCAGATGCACGTTGAGGGCAGACTGACAAAAGAAAGTCTTTTCACACTCATTGCACTCATAGGGTTTTTCCCCAGTGTGAATTCTCTGATGTGCTGTCAGGGCTGACAGACAGAAGAAGGTCTTCCCACACTCCTTACATTCATTTGGCTTCTCTCCCCTGTGAGTTCTTTGGTGCACAATGAGGTAAGATTTCTTGCCAAAGGCATTCCCGCACTCCTTGCATTTATAAGGCTTCTCCCCTGTGTGTGACCTGAAATGCTCGGCCAGGGCTGACTTCCGAAAGAAGGTCTTTCCACATTCCTTACACTCATACGACTTCTCCCCTCCATGGATTCTCTGATGCACAAGGAGGGCAGATTTGTCAATGAAGGCTTTCCCACACTCTTTGCATTTGTAAGGTCTCTCTCCAGTGTGAATTCGCTGGTGTCGAGTGAGGCTTGCCTTTATACGAAAAGTTTTCCTACAGTAATTACAAGCGTAGGGCCTCTCTCCCGTATGGATTCTCTGGTGAACAATGAGGGTGGACCTCTTAGAAAAGGTTTTCCTACACTCAGCACATTCATTTCGCTTTCTTTCAGCACGTTCCTCCGATCCTGCAGAATGGGCTGACTCCTCGGGCGGTTTCTCACCACCCGAGGTTTTATTCTGTTCCAAGGGCTGGTTATTCTGGTGTTGAGGGGGATCTTCGCCTTGACTACTGACATCCCTGACTTCACTACGCTTGTTCGGTTTTGCCCCCGAGTGACTTTTGTCAGGCTTTCTGCGGGGCGCTGGCTTCCCATTCCCATCTTGCTCAGCAGTTACCTTTGCAGTTGCTTGGCTTTGCTTTGCAACAGTCTCTTCTGAATTAGTCTTCAAGTCATTTCCACCTGGATCATATTTATGGAGCATTTTTTCTGAAGAAACATTATTCGTGTTGAGAGCAACTGTTTTCTCACACAGATTGGCTTCTTCTGGCATTGTTTTGTTTCTGAAGACTGAAAACTGCTTCAAATGTTTGTCTTGTCTTTCCTTGTCCTTCTCTAAGGAATCACCGTCTTCTGGAAGGAAGGAACAGAAGGAACATTAGTATGTGAGTTCTGTGAACTCTTGAAACAACAATCTGCACAAAGGCCTTATGGGGGACCAAGGCTTCAGTGCTGGCTTTCCACTCCTGAAGAAATTCAAGTATAAATATATCCTACTTTATGAATTCATAGAGAAAATACATAAACAATAACACAAAGGATGAGAGGAAGGAGGAGGAGGGAGGGAAACGCAAATTCATCTACACCAGCTTACTAAACTGGGTCAAAGAAAGAAGAAACTGGCAAAGAACACAAGAGCCCGGGACACTGACACAGTCCAGTACGGGACAGTCTCCAGCATCTCTTGGGAGTATGGCTGACTGGGTGAAATGGATAAGGATTTGGTCTGAACCTAAGAGAAGAGCAGCACAGTGATGGGGCCAGGTGAAGCAGCCTTCAGAAAGTCAGTGTGCAGAAGACACCAGGAGGATGGGGCGAATTGGACGTTTTGTTCAATGACTTGAGAACTCTGAATATATGCAAATACAATGAAAAATGGAAAGCACAGTGGGAGGGGAGTGGGCATGGATGGTCAGGAAATAAGCAAGGCGCCTGGGTGGGGACCTGGGTGGGCCTGGTAGGGAAAACAAAGGAACCAGTGTGCGGCGAAGGGGCTTGGCTTCTCTGGACAGAGCGCACAAAGTCAAACATTTTTATATGCTGCCAATAAATGAATAGACTTCTTTGGGAAGAACAGTTTAGCATCTACAGCACGAGAGCTAGTTTCCTCAGTCACTTCTAGAGCTCTAGGTCCTAGATGATTTGAAAGAAAAATCATATAGGTTCCAACTGCGATCATGAACCAGCCTGGACTTGAATTCTTTGGTTTTTACCTGCTCGGTCATCAAATTTACCTTCATGGTTCTGACGTGGCGATCTTTCCATTATCCAAGGCTCCTCTCCTTTCTCCAATTTTAAGATCACATCTGGTTTGCTAATACGAAACCCTGTTAATGAAAAATAGTACAGAACTTGAACCGAGCTCTGAGAACCTCAAAGGACTGAAGGACGGGGAAACTGAGCAGTGGAGAGGCTCATCAATAGCTCAATGGGACTGGCGCAAGTTAGTGACGAGCAGTGCACACGCATGCATGTGTGTCCAAACTGTCACCATCTTTCTCCCTTGTGACTGAGGGAGAGAGAACTCACTTCTAGTATCTGCCCATGTTCTCCTGACACGGAAGAAAGGCTAACTCGGGGGTGCGGCGTGGGGATTGCACTCACCCACTGAGACGAGGTTACGGTAGTTCTCCAGCATCACATCCCTGTACAGGATGCGCTGCGCAGGGCCCAGATGTTGCCACTCCTCACGCGTGAAGACCACAGTCAAGTCCTTGAAGGAAAGTGATCTCTGAAAGAACATGTTTCATGGGAGATCATTACACCTGAGCAGCAGGGTGTTTGTGGGAATATCAGGTATAACGAGGGTACTGCCAATGGGCAGTGTTGGCTATGGAGGGATACTTCACGGGGGATGAAAGAACAGAAACTGCCCACTATCTGTGAATGAGCTTTTTAAACATAGAGTTTAGAGTGTGTCCTGAAATTCCTGAATTATTGACTCATATGCAATGTGGTTCTTGCTCTCGAGGAGTGCCCAGTATGACAGGTGACACAGCAGGACCTGCATTTTGGGTAGGAACATACAAGCTAGGCAAAGGGTGACCACAAAAGGTCCTATTTTGTGCCATTAGATTCTGTGAGGTGATCATTTCAGTCCTGATGTAAGCATGTAGAAATACACTTAGGTGATCTACAAGGAAAGAAACCTGTGGAGTGGGCAGAGCACAGAGGCACTTTACCTGAAAATCAGCCATATAGTTTTTTTGTTACTGCAACAGAGCAGTAAAACACTCTTTTAATGTACAAATGGCCCATGGTTTACTTGAAAATCATAGTGTAATTCTAGGTCAGGCTATGTATTAATACCAATAACCATGTTAACACCAGTAATGATTGTTTTTCCCATGCTTCTGGCCAGGATGTGAACATGACGAGAAGTCCAGGGGTTGCTGGGGTGCTTCTAATCTTCTTGTCTAGAGACCACTCAGATCCACGGAGGTGTCTGTAAAGAGCACCACACCTGGCCGGACAAGTCATTCAACAGAGTGTAGTCACAAGACGAAGGCATTACAGATGAGGAGTCAGAACGTGCTCTCTAGGGTAACTGGCCACTTAAAAGTCATGAGGACAAAGGACATCCCAGACTGCAAGAGGCCGTGGAGACACGACAAATGGCACACTGGACCCCCGAGCTGAAGGCGGCATATATACTGTACTGCACTGTTGTCGTAGTGACAGAACGGGGTTGGCTTTTTCTCCTGGTTCTGACCACGGCACTCTGGTCCTGACAGGCCCCGGGAAGCCAGGGAAGTGTGAATGAGACCTGTCTATGACTTCTGCACTTCCATTTGTCTGAGTCCGCCTCAAAGTGCGGTGGTAACAGGTGAGCATTCCCCAGCTCTGCAGAAGCCCGTGTGCTCCCTGCGTGCCAGCCTGCCACACGTGCCGCCTCAGGTGCAGCTATTATAGGTCACGCATCTGCACACGTGCCTCGTAGCACCGTTCCTTCCTGTCTCCTAGAAGCATTTCACTACACATATGAAATATTCTCTAAGTCACTCCCTCCGAAATGAGCTTCCTGGTAATAAACAGTACTTTATAATTATAATCCAGGCAAGATGAGGACTACATAAGCTCTCGGTAACTAGAGAGAATGACTGCACAAAATGTTAGGAGGAAAAGGCCAGTGAGAGTCGGATGAGGACAGGTGACTTAAGACAGAGTCAGCTGCCTGCAAGAGCACACAGGCCACAGCAGAGGACAGAGAGCACTCCCCTTGGAAGAGACTGAATGGTGCTCGGGAAGAATGACAAAACCCCATATTCTGGTAACTCAGGTCACCTCTGTTGGCACCCTGTGCCCTCTGAGAAGAAAGCAAAGGGAAACCAAAAAGAGAAGATGAACCTCACTGTGAGGGGCACAGGGGCAGAGAGGGCACGCAGATGGGAGGCCCCAGGCTGTGCTCTGGAGGACTGACAGCCTCCCATGGAGGGAGGCCCACATGTGCAGACCATGCAGAAATGGAGACAGCTGCCCAGTATCTGGCTGTGGTCTCAAGTCATGTAAAGAATTAACAATTATTTAAAAAGCAGGGAGCTGGTTTAAAGTAAAACCCGATGCATAACTAGAGCACAATACCATCCTTCTGCAGTAGGGCTCAACAGGGCTGGCACCTGCTTCCTGGGGCACAAATGTCTGGGAATCCAGAGCGATGTTACTGACTTCTGGCAGAGGGACGCAGGTCAAGGGATGGTATAGCCTATAGCGTATGGGACAGCCATACAGAAAAGATGAGCCCCAGTCTTATGTACTATGTCCTGGTCACACCGATGGGAAAATCTGTTTATACTGATCTGAGCCTTGCCTAGGTGTCAACCCCAGAAAGATGCTATTCTGCAAGCTCCATGAGGGCAGAGGTGCTAGCTTTTGCCAAGCTGCAGGTGCAGTGTTCGGTACAAAACGCTATGATCGATACACAGCTGTTAAATGAAAGGTCTGGAGTGGCGGGAATTAAAGAAAAGTAGAAAAAGGCCAGAAAGGAACTGGCCTTGTTAAGTCAAAGCAAGGATGCTGAACTTTTATCCTGTATTCGCGCGGACCTGCTTGGGCAGCTGCAGCACCAAGACATTTACAGATGGGTATTGCTAGCAAGACAAGTAAGTGTGGACAACACACTTGAGAGAGATGTGAGTGGACCTTTGAAAACTCTATTATGACAATCCCAAAGGCAGGAACTGGGGGGGAGGGAAGCAGGGCTAGAAGGTGGGTACAATCTGATAGTTGCAAGGCTTGACAACTGCCTGTGACTGGAAACAAGGAATAGGAGGACTTAACACAGGCCTCGTTTTCTTTCTCTCCCCATCCCCCTTTTGGAGACAGTTTTACACTGTAGCCCAGACTGGCCTCAACTCATAGCAATTCTCCTGCATTAGCCTCCTCAATGATGGGCTTCTCTGCCTCGCCATCACACCTGGCTCTGGGCCTCATTTTCTTTCTAGCTTGTGTAACTGGAAAGATTAGCAACACTGGCAGGGAACAATGAGGAAGAAGCACACTGAACAGACAGGGGCGGGGGCCTCATTTCTGTTCTGCACAGGAGGCCTCCAAGTGCTTTCTGAAGAGCCCCTGCAGAGAACCACAAGAATCACCCCGAGACTCTTCAGAGGCACGAAGACTTCAGAGGTCAAAGGGTTCAACTTGGAACTCTAGATGACACAAAGGCTAGCGGAGAGAATAATAGGAGAAGCACACAATGCTGGTGGAAGAAGGCGGGAGCAGCTGATACACGGAGGAAATGATTAGGGAGTTAGAGAGAGAGTTGAGTGACAGCTAGAAACGGCCAGAAGTGCACTTAGGAAGGAATGGCCACATTGTCGAGGGCAACAAAGAGTTTGGTGGAGCATGGAGTGGAACCACCTATTCGGTTTGAAAATAAGTGAATGGTCACTAATTTTGGCCACAACAGGGGTGGTGCACAGGGAGTGAGTAGACATTAGACAAGTGAGTGAAATAGTTTTACCACAGAGTCTAAAATCAAGCTGTGCCCTGTGATGTCTTTTTTAAAGGCAGAGCTGAGACACTCAGGAGGCTGGAGGAGCATCATCAGTTTGAGGCTCTACAGTAACACAACACACACACACACACACACACACACACACACACACACGCATGCACACACATGCTCTCTCCAAAAAAAAAAGGCACTAAAGATAAAAAGAAATCGTTTGAGACACATGCAACCCATTTACTCTAGGTTTTATCACTGCACCATGGAGCGCGATCAGAAGGCTGTCTACGCCTCTGAAAACAGAGTAGACATCTATAACACCTAGGCCTTGCCAAGTTGTTAGTCACAGGAAATCCACAGCTGTTCCTGCTAAAGGTGATTTGCATCATCTGCTCATGTTCTCTAAGAACACGTTTATAAATAAATGATAGAAAACCATGGTTAACAGCCTACTTCGTGTCATTTGGGTCTTTTGTCATACAACCTGAATAATCCTACAGGGGTGCATCATTTCAGGTTATTTATTTACTCGTGAGACAGGGTTCTCTGTGTAGCCCTGGCTGTCTTGGAACCCACTCTGTAGACCAGGCTGTCCTCGAACTCAAGAGATCCACCTGCCTCCACCTCCCAAGTGCTACGCCATCTGGCAGTAATTTGTTTTTTGACATTTACTTTTCTGATTGATCTGATTCCCTTATTGTTCCTGACGCTGAATTTTATATATTTCTACTCTTTTATCTGAATGTTATACGCCGCAAATCTATGAAGATTCACTGCCAAAGGTGAGAAGTGAATCCCTCAGTGACTTACCTGGGTACTGTCCATTTTCAGGTACTCTCAAGAAAGGGCCAGGAATGATGATCGGAGGCTGGGTGGCGAAGAAAGGGGAATGGCATCAGCAGACTGGCTGGCAGCTCTTATAGACGCAACATGGAAAGGAGCCTCTGACCAGTATCATACAGGAAGCAATTGCTTGAGGGAATGCCCACAGTAGCTCTGAATGAACCAATCAGAGCTTTTCCTACTGTGTGAATGGAAACAAAGGTGGTTTACTGTCTTACTTCTGCCTCCTTAAAAAACAAACAAGCAACCCTTCGGAGTTCATACCAGATTAGATCAATAAACTTTAGCATATATAAAGCCTGGAACAGCAGGCCAGCAGAAAGGCGACTCTGAGATCTTATTTATTTATCTATCTATTTATTATTTATTTATGTGTATGTATTTTTTATATCAATTATCTGTTTTCCTACTAATGCATTCAGCAGATGAAATCAGAAAACCCAGACAGGAGTCAGGATGTTAAGATGATTATCAATCACTCTACTCCTCTCCCCCTCACGAGAGGCCTCTGCTTAAATGTAGCAGAGGACAAAGGCCTGACCTGGGAATCTACAGGCCAGAAATCAATTCTTGGCTCTGTCACCAGCAAACTACCTAAATGGTTAAAACAGCTGCCTTCCTCATTTGAAAAGTTTAAATATCTCAAAAACCTTCTCTGTCGGTACACTGTGTCATTCTTCTATATTAAAGAAATCAGCAAACCCCAGGATGACGACGGACGAGGTTTGAGCAACTCTAGTGGAACAGCATGGAGACGCTAAGGAGAGACATGTTCGAAGTGATGGAGAAACCTTTTCCTCAGCCAGGGCTGGCATCCCTTCCCTCCAAACGACAGACCCTCCAATGAAGCGTCACCCTGCCCATTCTGGACCTCAATCGCAGCTCAACCCTTACGCAGCCCTGAAGCTTACGGGCCTATAGGTATCCGCAGGACTGCTGGGGTCCGATTTTTGCACGCACACACTTCTGTCCCTCCCAGGCTGCCCGCCCCGAGGCCCGAAGCCCCGTGATGCCCGGTGACCTCCCCCGGCCACTGGAAATCGTGAGCATCCGAGGACCCAAGAAGGTCCCGGTCCTTCTTACCCTGTCCCGAGGTCGCCACCCGGGATTCCTCTGGCTCGGGGGTATGCGGGGGAACCTCGCTTCTCTTACAGTTCCCAGAAGGCCCCGGAGAATCGTGGCGCCGGGAGACCGCGGGAGCCTCGCCTAGAAAAGCCCCGCTAACCGGATGCGCGTCTACAGAGGCTGGGAGACGGCGCATGCGCAGAGGCTCGGCGCGGCCCTTCCCACGGTTCTCCAAAGGGTGCTGCAGTCTGTCCGGGACTGCATTTCCCACAAGGAGCCGCGGCCTCCGCCCAGCAGATCTCCCCTGGGGCACTAGGGTTTTAATCGCCAGGCTTTAAACCATGAATACAAAAGAAATGTGAGAAAGAAAAATTACAGATCTGGAAAGAAATTCCAACAGTGTATTAAGAAAACAATCATAAGCAAAGAGTTCTCTCAGAATGAAAATAGTAACGGTGAGCTTCCCAAAATTACAGAAGAAACACCTAACAAAGACAAACCAGACCGCCTCTAAAGACCTTAAAACAATAGTCACATTGCTTATCCCCAGCTGTCCGAGTTTATCGACAGGTGAATACTCTGCCAATTTTACAGAAGGGGAAATCATTAATCACAATTAATGACAAAATATTTTATCAGCATACTTTCTTTTTTCAAATTTTATTTTATATGTATGGGTATATTGTTGTCCTTCCTGCTCTGATGGAAAAGTATCTTGGGCCTTGGAAGCCCAGGAACCACACAGCTTTGAGGGGGAGAAGGCATCCCAATGGGAGGAGGATATCGTGAGACATGGGAACCCAGGACACACACCACTCTGAGGTGGGACAGTGTCCCAAGGGAAGGGCATCCTGAGGCATGAGAGCCCAGGAACCACACAGCTCTGAGAGGAAGCCTCGTCAGCAGAGGTCTTGCAGTTCCTAAGGGAGGGTGTCCCCAGCTGAGCTCAGGAGCTCAGGAGCCTCAGTCCCACTCCACATCTTTGCTTCTTCTCTTCATTGCTTCTTGGCTTCTTCCAATGAGAGGGTCACCCCAGGCAGCCAATCTCATAAAATAGAATTATTGGGAGAGTCCAGGGTGTGAAGGGACAAATCCCAGGTTACCTGACCCTGCTCCCAGGAGAGGACAGCAGGGAACTGAACAAAGGGCAGGGATTCTGTCGTGTATCTTAGGGGGTGGAGCTTTTCAGGGTGGAGATCCCCAGAGTGAGGGTTGGTGGATTTCAAGTCCTAAGCTTGGGGAGCTCAGGGATTGGTGGGTTTTCACCCACCAAAAAAAGGGATTTTCACCCCTTTTTTCCTTCACCAGATCCTTGGGTTAGGATGGGAAGATCTTCCCGACTGCAGGAGGCTTTGGCTGAGGCCCCGTTGTTGTGGAGCCGCTTTTGGACACTGAAGAGGAGATCCTGCCACCGTGGACAGCTCCTGGGGTGACATCCCACTATGGCAGCAGGCTGAGGTGAGAAAGAAGGTGCAGACACCTTGGACAGCTCCCGTGTTGTTAACTCAGGGACGCAGGCTGAGGAGATGTCACTGTCTGGACAGGTGCCTCCATTTTGACAGCTCCTGTGGTGGCTGTGCAGGCTGGGGCTGGAAGGAGGGGACGCCGCTTTGACAGTTCTTATAGAGTACCGCTTTGACAGCTCAGGGACTGCATATATTGCCAGCATGTATGTCTGTCCACTATTTGCGTGCTGTGCCTGGTGCCTGAGGAGGCCAGGAGAGGGTATCATGTAAGTGCTGCTAACCAAACTCTGTTCCTCTGGAAGAGCAGCCAGTGCCCTAAACCACTAAGCCATCTCTCCAGACCCTTAACAATATATTTTAACAAAACCAATCATATACAATGTGAGTAATATAGAAACTAGCCCTTCATCCACAAGGACAAATTATATATATATGTTAAAAGAGGAAAATCATGTAATATGTCTTACTCACTGGAAGGCCTGGGGGTTTCTGACACAGTTATCTGTTATTGTTCAATAACAAAACAACAACAAAACCCACTGAGGTGTAGAGGCTGAGAGATGGCTCCCAGCGAGCCAGACTTCCAGTGATTTAATGCTTGCATATTGTCTCCTGCTTCAGATGTGACCGTGTTGTGACTTTAAATAAAGGGGGCATCAGAAGGCGGGTTTCAAGAAACAAACCTGATTTCATGGCAGTCAGGGTTGTTCGCAGTGTTTCTAGAGCTTGGGCATGAGTTTAGTTACCTAGTTACCAGAGATCGAGTGGAAATCGAAAGAAGCAGAGGGGCAATGTGGAGAAGCAGACAAACCTTTCCCAGCCTGCCTCACCTTCCAGGCAGCCTTGTCAAGGCTTCAGACCCAAGGAGTGAGCCATTGCGTGCAGTCAAGTCCTTGGGTGGCCTCAGCTGCATATAGAATCACATGAAGCAGAGCCACAAGATCCATACCAGTAAATATGTAGCAAAATAACCAGTTTCATAATTTTAAGTCACCAATTGGGGGGGGTGTGTGTGCTGGTTTGTTATGGAGCAATAAATCCATGATGGGTCTGCAAGACGGTTCCGTGGATAAAGGCGCTTGCCAACAAGCCTGATGACCTGAGTTGGTCCCAGGGACCCACGGGATGGAGGGAGAGAACCAACATCTGCAAATTCATCCTCGGAGCTCCACACATGTGCCGTGGCATTCTCAGAGTGGCATGTGTGCCCATACACATGCCAAGTGAAAGGAAAATAGAAATGTCTTTGGGGAAAGATGGATTTCAAAAGCAAATGTATGAGAAAAATGTGGTTGGTTTCTATATATGCTATCTGTAAAAAATGGGCTCAACTTATTAATAGTGCTTCTGGGAGTCTTTTACAATTAGTGTGTTAATTATTTTTTTATAAATGGAGTAAGGAGTGAACAAGAAAATGAATATAAAATATTTGGAAATGAATTAGAAATTGGCCATATGTGGTAGCTTGAATAAGTACGGCCCCCATAGTCTCATGTGGTTGAATGCTTGGCCATAGGGAGTGGCACTATTAGCAGGTGTGGTCTTGTTGGAGGAAGTGTGTCACTGTGGAGACTGGCTTTGAGGTCTCCTATGCTCAACCTTTGGTCAGATAGACACAGTCTTTTTGTTTATTTGTTTCAAGGAAGGGCTTCTCTGTGTAGCCTTGGCTGTCCTGGACTCACTTTGTAAACCAGGCTGGTCTCCAACTCACAGAAATCTGCCTGTCTCTGCCTCCCGAGTGCTGGGATCACAGGCGTGTGCCACCATATCCCAGTGTGTGACACATTCTTATTCTGCTTACTTCAGATCAAAATGCAGGTCTCCAGCACCAGGTCTGCCTGAATAGTGCCATGTGTTGTGCGATGATAATGAAGTAAACCTCTGAACTGTAAGCCAGCCCCAGTTAAACGTTTTCCCTTTATAAGAGATGCCTTGGTCATGTTGTCACTTCATAGCAATAAAACCCTAACTAAGACACCTATATATGTATGTGGATGTGTGTGTGTGTGTGTGTATGAAGTTGTGGTCAACCACACTATAGATCAAAGAAGTGAAACAATACTTTTTAATTACATACATTTATTTTTGGCAGGCAAGCTTGGTAAATATTAAAAAAGCAATTTGGTCATGAGGTTGAAAAACTGTTGCTCATCAGGCTGAATAGGGTTGTCATTCCCGTCACATTTTTAGGACACATTCTGCACCCAAATTGGAGTTCATATGCCCTTTATTCTCTTTGTTTGTTTGTTTTTGTTTTTTGTTTTTTTGAGGCAGGGTTTCTCTGCGTAGCCTTGGCTGTTCTGGATTCACTTTGTAGACCAGGCTGGCCTTGAACTCACAGAGATCGGACAGCCTCTGCCTCCCTGAGTGCTGGGATTACGGGTGTGTGCCACCGAGCCCAGCTCATATGCCCTTTATTCTAAAGATTCAGGGGAATCTTAAAGAAATAACTGAACTTGTGTATAAAGATATATGTCAGCAACATTCCCAAAATGTTTTGTTTTGATTGTGAGGCAGCATTTCACTATTTATCCCAGGCTCTGAACTTAGGATCTCCTGTCTCCGCCTCCCAAGTGCTAGGACCTGAGCACAGGGATGGAGTGATGGACAGGTGCCACACCTGCCCCTCCAAACCCTCCGCAGGTGGTTCTGGAACACCCTTCACCCTTGGGAGACTTCCTGGAAGACTCAACTCCCTGTTGCCCACGACAGTGTTTCTCATAACTTACTCACGCCCCTCCCTTCTCCTCCTCTCTTTAGATCTCCACTCCTGTATTGTTGAATCATCTTTCAACCCCCCCTAACCCACTTTATTTCTAACACAGGGGTCCGCCGTGATGCATTCTGTCCTGTTTGCTTCTTCATGCTTTACTTTCAACCATCGATGACATGAGTCAGGGTTGCCTGGAAGGTTGCTGGCCTCATCATCCCTACTTTCATTCTCTTAGAGTGAAGACCATAGAGTTGATATCAAGGCCCCGACACTGTGCTGCTCAATAGATGAGGTGTGCATGACCGCAACTCCACCAATTACCACAGGAAGCAGACCATTCGTGGTGAGTTTTTAATACAGTGGGAGGTTTCTCAAAAGAGCTTAGACTTGGGCCAGCAAGTTGGCTCCGAAAACAAAAGCGCTTGCAGCTCAAGCCTGAGGCCCTGAGTTCTGTTCTCAGGACTCAGAATGGAAGAACTGACTCTACAAAGGCACCCTCCAGTGGCCACAGCCTGTGCACGTCATCTACACGTATACATTGTATATACACACACAATAATAATAATAATAATAATAATAATAATAATAATAATAATAATAAGAAGAAGAAGAAGAAGAAGAAGAAGAAAGAAGCAAAATTCTTGGACTAGTGAAATAAGAGAGAAAAGAGAGGAGGAGGAAAGAGGAAAAGAAAGTGAAGAGAATGTTGAGACAGGAAGGGGGAAAGTAAGGAGGCTGAAAGGCAGATGCTGGGATCTGCAGTTTTCCACAGTGACCACGAGATGGCAGAAGACTCCCCAGCCAAATTCCCTTGGCAGGCTCCCCCACGAACTTCAGAAGCTAGGAAGTGAGAAGTCTCAGTAGCTGAGGGTGCACAGAAGGCTTGGTGAGAGCAAGCGCTGGGGAAGGCTCTAGCTCTTCCTGATACTTCAAATAGTGTATCCTGTGGGTTAAGTATTTTCATAGGCTCATGAAACTGGCTCCTTTTTCTGGTAACACTTTTCCAGTGGGAGACCACCCTGACCTTTACTCAAGGATGATGTATATCCGCTGTCACACAGCGATTTCCATGGTGTGAGGAGAACCCACTAGACAGAGCCCAACCTGTAAAGCTGTCAAGGTCATCCCCAGAATGATGGCCCATCGTTATCTCTAGCCAAGGTGCAGGCACATGACCTAAACCAAGCAAACCGTGAATCTGAACTTGAAGCCCGAGTAGACTGGAGACTGACTCGTCCTGACACGGATGCCGTAAAGACTGCCCGTGATCACAGCTACATGGGTCTCCAGGGCTCTGCTGGCTCTGGGTCTTCCTAACTCCTACGAGTCAGTCTACATGCCAGACTCGCCAAGACGGGAGCTAGGTTCCTGAGAGAGGGTCTGCATTAGGATGAAGGCAAGTCTTCAGTAGCCATATGCTAACTTAATTCATCCAATCAAAACCCAGGAAACCTGTTCTGCGCCCAGCCCTGCTCTATTATACTTATTTATTTATTTCATTTATTTATTCATTCTATTTTAATTTGTTCTTTGGGAATTTCATGGATATATACAAGGTATGTATGAATCCAATTAGTGCCTCCAGTAAGTGCATGGCATGGGGCCATCCTAGAGGATACAACCCTCCAGGAGCCACACCCCTGAAGAAAAATTATCTCCCAACCCTAGTAGCCATGGGCTGTCAAGAGCTCCTCAGCTAGGGGTGAGGCCTCATGTGCCCCTCCCCAGTCCATGATTGGCTTATTTTGTGTAGGCAACCGCAGCTGCTGTGAGTTCAGGAATACAATGCATTTATTTACTGAGTGTGTGTGTGTGTGTGTGTGTGTGTGTGTGTGTGTGTGTGTCCGTGCCATAGTAATCATGTGGAGGTCAGAGGACAACGTCAGGGGAGTTGGTTCATTTCTTCCACCATGTGGGAGCTGGGAACAGAGTTCAGGTTGTTCCATAGTATGGCCCCTGCTTCCCACAGATCTGTCTAGATGCAAAATTCCCAAGGTAACCGGTGTGTGCTTCAAATTCAGATGCTGACGTTCTAGCTTCTCAAGTAATGGTCTCAAGAGGTGGTTCTTCAGGGGTTCCTGTGGTTAGGCCTCCATGGAGGGTTAGCAGCCAGCTGAAAGAGGGCCTCCTTCCCAGCTCGGTTGTCCTCACAGACTGGCAACTACAAGTCTGTTTGTCTAGTTTGAATTTATTCTCCTTTTTTTTTTTTTCAATACCACTGGAGGTACTTAATTCAGAGAAATTATATTAAATATAATAATCTGATTCTATACCTGAAAGGAAAATATCTAAGCCCTGCCTTTCTTCCTTCTCTTTTCTTTTCCCTGTGTGTGCACAGTTTGGGTATGTAAGTGTGTGGATATGAACATGATCGTGTGTGTGCCTCTGGGAACATGGAGAGCATAGCAAGCATATGGAGGTCAGGGGAGAGCCTCTGGCATCAGCCTTCACATTCCCCACGACTGGGGCTGGCTCTCTGCTTTTCTGCTCTGTGTTCTGGGCTAGCTGTAATTCTAGCACTTGGGAGGTGGAGGCAAGAGGATCAAGAAGTCCAAAGCAGGGCTGGAAAGATGGCTCAGAGGTTAAGAGCACTGGCTGTTCTTCCAGAGGTCCTGAGTTCAATTCTCAGCAACCACATGGTGGCCCACAACCATCTATAATGAGATCTGGTGCCCTCTTTTGGTGTGCATGAAAACAGAGCACTCATGTATATAAATAAATAAATAAATCTTAAAAAAAAAGAAAAAAAAGAAAAAAAGGAAGTCCAAAGTTACCCTTGCCTACATAGTGAGTTTGAGGGCATCCTGGGCTATATGAGATCCTGTTCCAAAACAAAAAACACAAAACAAAATAAACAAAGAAAAGAAAAGAAATGCCATCTTAGTTACTTTCCTATTGCTGTGATAAAGCGCCCATGACCAAGGCAACCTATAGAAGAAAGAGTTCATTTGGGACTTAAAGTTCCAAAGGGTTAGGGTCCATGACCATCATGACAATGAGCGTGACAGGCAGTCATGGTCCTGGAGTAGTAGCTGAGAGCTCACATCTTGAGAAACAACCATAAGGCAGGAAGAGATAACTGGGAATGAAGTGAGTCTCTTAATTCCTCAAAGCCCACTCCCAGGAATATACCTCCCCCAACAAGGCCACACCTCCTAACCCTTCCCAAGCAGTGCCGTCAAACTGGGAACCAAGTATTTAAATATATGATTCTGTGGGGACATTATGACTCAGACCACCATAGAGGGGAAGAATCCATTGTAGCCACAACCACAGTGACGTGGTTTATGACCCGTGCGTTTGTGATGCCATGATGTTCTGAAAATAAATGTGAACCTTGTGTTTCACAATAGTTATACAGGTTTTGGGGCTAATACTCCTTACGTTTCCTGCTCTGCTTTCCTCAACCCTCCCTCTCCACAGAGCCAACACCTTCTTCAGTCTTAAGAACATTTGATTCTGTTTTACTGAATGGAGTGTTGCCTGATGCTCCACTCTTGAAAGTCAATCAAGGACTTACAGTTTGTTATCTTATTGTTGTAGTTGTTATTTTTTTACTATGGGAAACTAAAGGCCACACATGGCTAACCAGAGGCCAGGCGTCTGTCCCTTCTCTGAAATTCAAAATTGAGCAGGGTGTCTTGTGTTTTTATTTGCTAAGCTTAACGAGTCTAGATGGGAAGGCTCCGAAGGAGCCGGAAACAGTCAAACCACTTCTTATATTTAATAAATATAGTTGTTTAGGAGATCAGACTTTCAGATTAACATACATTCCGAGGATCCAGAAGCTTCTAAATCGGTGGGGAGCTGAATTAATCCACAGGCAGAAGCTGTACGAGGATGTCACCGGGCAATCTCCATCTAGCCGGAAGGAATTGAGCAGTCCTGGTCCTCCCCAACTTCCACGACTCTTCACTGCATCCCTACTCCCCCAGGCCTTCCGCTCGCCATGATTTCATGCACATCCCACGTGAAAAGCAGGTCACTGTTCCCCTGCACGATCGTTACGTAGATAAGGAAAGCGAGGCCCCGAGATGTGTAACGACCCACCCAAGATCACACGGAGGCCGGAGAGAGGTCAAGGGATCTCAGAGCCCTGGCCCCCTGATCGGCATCCCTGGGTTCCCAGGTCCCCCCCGATGCAGGCCTGTCTGTCCAGGTTTTCATTCCGGTCGTGTCTCCTTTGGAGCCGGCCCTGCAAGTGGCTAAGCCTCCTGGCCTCCTGGGCCGGGAAGAAGGAGGCGGCGATGGCGTGCCGCAGGCGCCAGGCGTAGGCCTGGAGCACCAAGGCGGCGCCCGCTAGAAGCTGCAGGGCGCCCGCGCCCAGTGCTTCCCTGACTCTGGGCGGCTGAGCCTTGGGCAGGAGACATTCCTGGGACGTGAAGCGCAGCTCCCACTGGAAGGAGCGCTGTGCCGAGGCAAACGTGCTCTCCACCGGAGGCTGGTTGAGGACGAAGAGGATGAAGTCCAGAACCTTATACGACGCCTTCAAAACAGAGAAAAGGGTTGAGTCAGAGGAGCCATCAGGCCCTTCCCTAACTCTGCCACCTACAAAATGGGTTGAGGGAGGAGAAACTGTGACTCAGTGGCCATTAAAGCTGCACCACACAAGTCTGACTTGTTATTCTTATTACCTTTGAGTAAAGTATTTTTAGAGAAACTAATAAAAGTTGAGGATGGATCAATGGCTCCAAGGGTAGGGTGACTCTCCTTGGAGAGCCAAGGGCAGAATGCAGGAAGCCCCCGCCCGGTTCCACCCAATCGCTGTGTATACCAGGAGTACTGGCTCACTCAGGAGGCAGAGGCAGGTGGATCTCTGTGATTCGAGGCCAGCCTGTTCTGCATTCTTGAATTCCAGGTCACTCAAGACTACATAGTAAAAACCTGCTGTCCAAAAAAAAAAAAAAAAAAAAAAAGGCAATAAAACAAAAAGCAAACAAAACAAAAGCCCCACCAATCAATGCTTATAGGGTTGATGGTCTTGCAAACTTGATGGGATCGAGAAATGCCCACGACAGTGTTTTCATGGAGAATTAGGTCATTGGGGCTCTGTAATAACCAATGATTCAATTCATTGATGGGTCTACAACACAAAGGTGTTGTTGGAAGGAGGTGAAAAGGCAGGAGATGGGGCCCAGCAGGAGGAAGCTGCCACTGGGGGTGACTGGGGGCTGTACCTAGCCCTGGCCTCTTCCTGTGTTCCATTTCCCTGTCTCTTGTCCCCCTAGGCCTCCATGCCATCTGTCTGTCAGACTCCTAGGTGCATCCAAGGCTGATGACTCAGAGGCCAGCCAGTCCAGACCCCTCTCATCTGAATGTTCCAAGAGCATTCCCCTCCCAGCACTTACATCATACTTGACCGTGAGTGTGATGGGGACAGTGGGCAACTTCTGAGCCCAGGCCACAGCTGCCTGTGCCAGGAGGAAGGCTCCGTAGTCTGTGGCCACCGCCACAGCTGTGGCCACCAGGAACAGTGCCAGAAGCCCCAGCCTTAGGAGGCAGCTCAGCAACTCCTCCTGCGACAGCTTCGGCTGGGCTGTTTGGAGCAGCCAGGGAGGCGGGGAGGCCAGCAGATGTGTGGCACCAGCCTGGGCCAGCTGCTGAACCAGCTGCCGGGTGGCGTAGATATTGTCGAAGCGCAGGTCAGTGAGGTAGCAGTGAAGGTACCAGGCCGCCTCGCCCAGGAGGCCCAGCATAAACAGCCCAGCGATCACCCGCTGAGTCCCCATTGCCGCCTGAGCCAGGACCTCCAGGCCAGAGAAGTCCTCCAGGATCCGCTGAGTGACCCTGTGTGTGTGAAAGCGGAAGGCTGAGCCATTGCCCTCCGCCTCGAATGCCAGGCTCCGGCTGACTGCCTGGCCGGCTGGGCCCAGTTCCCTGGCTGCCTGGTGCAGCTGCTGAGTAGTGTTCAGTAGACTCTCCAAAGAGCCCTGGGTGACGCAGCTCAGCACTCGCCCAGCTGCCTGCACGTTGGCTAACATGTTTGGCACCACAGCAATGGCCAGGTTGGCTACGCTGTAGGACAGGAGCAGCCGGCAGCCCTGCTGGGAGCCCAGGGTAGGCACACTGAGTGCAAATAGGCACCGGATGGGGGGCACCAGGCCTAGACTCAGGAAGACCAGGACACCACAGACAGCTGTCACTGAGGCAGGGGGTCCCAGAGGATAGAGCTGCAAAGAGAGCAGCCAGTGATGAACCAGGCCTGCGACCACACTGGCCAGGGAGACGCATAACAGAAGCTGGATCAGCAGTTCCTTACAGCTGGCTGGGACAGGCTGAGAGAAGGCGGTCCAGGCAGCCTGCAGCGGGACCACTGCCTTGCAGATCGACAGACGCCAGAACTTCCACCTGCACACAGGAAATAGGGGGGCGGGGCCCTGTGTCAGGAGGGAGTGGTTATCCTCTGTCCCACCAGCCAGGATACCAGCAGACCCCTCCCTCTCTCAGCCACAGGAACAGGCACAATTCCCAGAGAGACCCATCAGAAGGAACTCCATCTATGCGGTAACACAAGCGGAAACAGTCCCCAGGAAGGCTTGACAGGGTTGTCAGTCAGCAGCCCAGTGTCTGTGTCATACTTGGCTGTGTGGGGCTAGGTATCTGGACTGAGGCCATGTTACAGGCTCTGGGGAGTAGCAGGTAAGCTGTGGAGGGAGAACGAGCATGGCTGAAATAGAGGATGTAGGAAGAGGAGAGAGTGAGGAGGCACAATTTCACCCGTGTGTGTGTGTGTGTGTGTGTGTGTGTGTGTGTGTGTGTGTGTGTATACCTCACTGTTGGTCCCATTCATATTCTTCTTTACAGATCTCAGTGTCCCCTCCATCCCTTACAGGCAAGGAGATGGCCTAGGTGGCTATCTCTTGGGGACCTTTTCTCTTCAACCAGCCTTAGTCATTAAACAAACACCTATCTATCTGTCTGTCTGTCTGTCTATCCACCTATCTATTGTATATTACACATTTCTGCCTGCATGTCAGCATCATTCATTCTCCACCTTAATTTTTTATTTTATGGGTGGGTGCTTGCATGCCAGTGTGTGTGTGTACAAGTCAGAGGGACAGCTTGAAGGCGTCACAGGGCAAGTTACTTGTAGGATCTGTGTCTCTCCTTCCGTCACGTGGGTCTTAAGGACTGACTCAGGTTGCCGGGCTTGGTGTCAGGCACTTTTACCCTGACTGAGATGTCTCTCAGACACTCCACTACCCTGTTCTGAGACAGGGTCTCTCACTGGTCTGGTGCTCACCACTTTGGCTGGGCTGGCTGGCCAGTGAGCCCCAGGGGGCTGCCTCCTCCTCCCCAGTTCTGGGATTGCAGGTGCATTCTCTCATGCCTGGCTTTTTTCACATGAATTCTGGGGATCCGAATCGGGTCCTCCAGCACGTACAGTAGGCACTCTCCTCACAGAGCCGTCTCCTCAGCCCCAACTAATATTTATTCGGCTATCCCATGCTGTGAGCTCAGCATTGGAGGCCCAGCGGTGAGGGAGCAGAAAAGCTCTGATTTCCCAGGTGCTCATGCTAGTTACAGCAGACGGGAGATGACAAAATGGCTGGATTCAGAGGTCAGCTATGAAATCTGGACATCCGGCTTATCGCTGCCATCTGCAGCCATAGCTGCAGATGGCTGGGTGGAGCTGAACATCTGCTGCCTTCGGGTCTGCATGCCTGAGTGCATCCCCTACAGGTGATACATCTCCTACACACGCAGGAGTCTTCGACACCTGTACCCCCTTCCTGGCCTCCGAGGACACTTAGGGGTCAGGGTACACAGTACTCTACACACAGCATGATTATTTTTGGAACAGGGAACTGCTGCGGTAGTATCAGCTAGCCCAAATGGTTTCAAGAACTGGAAGCCATGTCCGGCACTCAGTCAGCGGCAGCAGGGGATGACCTAGCTCTCCCTCTGAACCTCACCCTCTGCACGGGCCTCTCCTTCAGTTCCCACACAGCCTTAGCGCTGCTGCTATTATCTCCACCCCATGAGGAGACAGCCAGGGCCTAGGAAGGTGAGGGTTCACAGGTGGTTACAGCTAGTGAGGAGAAGGCTTGAGCCTACACCCATTTCAATGGACTTCTCCTGCGTGAGGTCCTTGCGTCTCAATCCCCAGACCTACCCCAACCTGATGAGCTGTTCCGTGGCTCTCCTGATGTTCCTCATGGTCTTTGAGAGTGGTGTTCAGACAGCTGCTGTGGCAGCCACGGCAGGTGGAGAGGAAGTGTGAGGATGGGAGAGTCCTGTCACTTCTGCTTCCCTCCCTCCCGTCTTTAATCAAACCCTCCTGGGGCCTGGGCCCGCTGCCTCATCCTCTCCTGAAAGGCAGTCAGGAGTAGCGAGGCGTGGGAGGAGGGAGACACATTTTCCAAGCAATGCCTATGATCCTGAGGGCAGGAAGATAGAATTAGCCCATTTCACAGGGTTTGGAGAAACCATGCAGCTCACTCAACAGAGGAACTCTTCTCTTCTCCCCCTGTCCCTCCTTCCAATCCCTGACTCTGGGAATGGGAACCTGCAGGAGACCTGCAGAGACCCTAAGGGACACGCTGTGCTGTTCTTAGCCATGGTGTAAAGCCATAGAAAGGGAATAATAAATGCAGCCTGCACTGGAACCAGTAGGTGCTCAATAACTGTGCATGTCCTTGTGGTAATTGCCCTCCAGGACTTGGTCCCCAAGAGGCCTCCTCAGCCATGGGGCACAGCTGATGGGATTCAACTTGCCAGCCACTTTCCCTTATAGGGACATTCTGCCGGCCATGGGGAAGTGACTTCACATAGTACATAATTGAATGAGACACCTTCAGCAGACCCTCAGAGGGCTGTGAGACCCTCCAGGAAGCCAGGAGCCTTCACAGGTGGCAGCTCCGCCATTCAGCTGGCCTCTGTAGGGGCCCTGGGCTAGAGGCAACAGAGCTAAATGCAAATGAAGACTTTCGCTCTACTGGGCTGTGTGATCTTGGGTAAGGCACTGTTCCTCTCTGAGGTCTATAAGTCCTTCCAATATAAGAGAGCAAAGCACCTACCTGATGGGCTTGGAAATGCACACAAAGCATTCAGCAGGCAGTACATAAAGGAGCTCATGCTGTGAGCTCCTCCAGCCTGAGTTCTAGCCTTGCCTGAGTGGGCTCTAGGATGCTCAGACCTGACTGCTCAGGCCAGATGTCCTCCCTGCCACTCCTAACCCCCCTCCCCACCTCTACCCGGACTTGGGTCTCATCAGGACTTAGAACTACATCCCATAAAACATGACCAGCCTTTGCCCAGCTCTGTAGCTAGTTGGGTAGCAAACAGAGGCTATTTGGGGAGGCCTCAGGTGGCTGAAGGAGAGTTGGAACACAGGGCCTGGGGAGGAAAAGGGCAGGAGATATTTTCGGGTTCTCTTGGAACAAGTGGGCAGTCATCTCTGCTCAGGCAAAGGCTGACCTGATCTCAAGGCCCACAGCATCCTGAAGGGCTCCTGAGTCATTGGAAATCAACAGGGCTGGGCTGGGGGGTGGGACTTTAATCTGGAAGTAATCAGAGCCACGAGACAGAGAGGAAGTGGGAGTCTTCAGCTGTTCCCAGGGCCACAGGGTGTTAGGGTTCTTGTGGTTTTCAGCATAGGGGTGAGAAGGTGGCTGAGAACGCAGAGATGGCTAAAACCTCATCTGTTTAGGCTGTGGAGCTGGCTCAAGTGGTAAGGTATTTGCTGTGCAGGTGTGAGGACCTGAGTCCTAGCCCAAGAACCCATGGGAAAAAACTGGCATGTACTCCTAGTCCCAAATCTGGGGAGGTGGAAACTGGGTTCCTGGAGCTTGCTAGCCTGCTAGCCTGGCTGAAGGGCATCTCGAGGTTCCTTGAGGTTAGTTGAGGGTTGAGGGTAGTTGCTGGCCTCTATGGACACTTGCATTAGTGCGCTCAAAAACACACGAATGTGGGCACACATTTTTTTTTTTTTTATACAGGGTTTCTCTGTGTAGCCTTGGCTGTCCTGGACAACCTTTGTAGACCAGGCTGGCCTTGAACTCACAAAGATCCACCTGCTTCTGCTTCCCCTAGTGCTGGGATTACAGGTATGTGCCACCATACCCGGCAAAAAATTTACTTATTTTTTATGTGCATTGAGTGTTTTGCCTGCATGTATGGTGAGGGTATCAGATGCCCTGGAACTAGAGTTATAGACGGCCATGTGAGTGCTGGGATTTGAACCTAAGTTCTCTGGAAGAACAGCCAGTGCTCTTAACCACTGAGCCATCTCTCCAGCCTCCTGCGCACACATCTTAGCACAGATAACCTAACAGAAACAGAATGGGAGCGGCCAGCAGGAGTCATAGAAGTTTCTAGTAATGACATTAAAACTGAAAACAATTTTAACATTTATTTGTGTGTGTGTGTGTGTGTGTGTGTGTGTGTGTGTGTGTGTAAGTGTGAGTCAGAGGACAATCTAAAGAATTAGTTTTTTTCCTTCTACCATGTGTGTCCTAGGGACTGATCTTAGGGCCAGCAAACTTGGCAGCAAGCACCTTTACAAACTAAGCCACCTTGCCTGCTCTGAAATCCGTTTTAACAAAATATTTGTTTTATTGAATATATCCCAGATACAACCTGCTTAATGTGTAAGAAATGCACAATAGCACGACAGGATAATTTATATTGATTTTTGTGCCACTGCAAGTGCCTGAGGGGAGTCACTCATGCCATGGCCCAAACGTTAGGTGGGCAAATGGTCACTACCTCTAGCACTTCAGGAGGTGCTGTGGGTAGCCAGAGCCTGTGACCACTGGGGCTGGGACAGACCTCCCAGCTCTGACTGTGGGGCTACGAGGTCATATTTCTTCAAAGGCCGGGAAAGTGGCTGAGTGGAAATCAGAGAGCCAGGGTGGGATAGTTGGGCTAGGTGAGGCTGGGGGGTGAGCGGGAGTGTGTTCATGGCATGGCTCCCACAAGAGCTATCCAGCTCCTAATTGTCTCTGCTAGTTCATTTGTTTTTATCTGGAGTCAGGATCTCACTGTGTAGCCCAGGCTACCCTGTCATGCGTAACTCCTGATTGTCCTGCTTCAGTCTACCAAGCCCCAGGCATGTACCGTCACACCTAGCTGGCCGTTTTGTTTCCCAAGAGAAACAGGCCCCCAGATTCTTAGGTGGCCTTCCTGACACTAAGGTCTGGTGACAAGTGTTTAGCTGGAAACAAAGGGAGGGAGAGAGAAGAAAGCCTTGGCAGGCACTGCTGTGGGGCTGGGGGTCAGCTTTGCCAGGGAGAACCATGCATCCTGACTGTGGGCTTTGTTCCTTCCAGACCCCGCTCCCCCTCCTTATCCTGTGCCCCAGAGTGACCCAGCAAGGCCACATGGAAACACTCTTGTGTTTCTATTGGTGGGACGTGTGAGATTGAACGTTGCCAACTTGGCCAAGCCATGATGCCAATGGCGGGTCGGTTTATTCTGGATATTTCTGCGAGGGTGTTTTTGATTGATTAGCATGTAGGTCAGGGACTTGGAGTAAAGAAGGCGGCCCTCGGAATAAAGGTGGGCCTGCTTTAATCAGCGACGGGAAGGCCTGAACAGAACGGGATGGAGTGGTTTGCAGCAGGTGGGGGTCTTTTGAGCCCAGCTGCCGTTCTTTCTGCACTCCCAGCTTGCCACTCCCGCAGCCCCCAGCACCCCCGAGGCGTGGGATCACCAAGTCTCCACAGCTGTGAGTCCACCCCCAAAACACGTCTTCTTTCTGTTTTCCCTTCAGTGAGAGGCCGCATTTGCTGAGGTGGGTTAATGGGCATCTTCGGATGACAAACAGGGCTGGGATTCGCTTGTTTCTCCTTTCTGACCTTTGGCACTCCTGTTCGGCTCCAGAGGAGCCCCGGTGTATTTCCTGTGACTCAATCTCCCCAGTCCCCACACCACTATGGTGAGTGCCTAGTCAGGGCCCTGTCCTCTTCCCTCAGGTCCCTTTTGCTGAGAATGCACAGGCAATCAGAAAAGGGGACCAGTGACAGTCCCCGGAGAGGTGAGGATAGCTGCCACCAGCTGGAAGGGACAGAAGCCGGACGTCCAAGACCCAGTTGATAGCCCAGAACCTGATATCATTGTTCCACGCTCTTCACCCCCTCCAAACTCCCCACCACACCCATAGTCTCCTTTCCACAGGGCTCTGAGTGTCCAGCCATTGTGTTTGGCTTCAGCCTAATGCCACCTCCTCAGAGGAGCCCACCCTAAACCCACAGCCTGAGTCAGTTCATCATGTGGCCAATCAGAAGGTGGTTGACTTTGTACCCATTTACTATCCCACTGCCTGGTCCTTCTACTGCGTTTGAAGCAGCACACCGCAGGCTAGGTGCCTGCTGAATGGACCAAGAGGAAGAGTAAAGAAAGAACGAAGGGCATGTTCAAGCCTGTAGTCTGTTCATGGATCAAGAATCTACTGAGCACTAACTATGGAAACCTGGTCCAGACCTCTGAGTTCTATCAGGGAGCCAGAGAATGGCTTTTGTTGTTTACACTGTACAGGGTGAGGAGCGGAATAGACAGGAAAACCAGCACCGCTGCATCCAGAGAGCTAAGGAAGTGTGGGTGTGCTCAGGGTCAGCTTTGCAGAAGTCCTGACCAGGCATCTGGGGTTTCATTCTGAAAGGCCAAGAGTCATCATCTCCAGTATTAACCAACATTCTTTATTTGAGAGCATTTTTGATCAGCAGTATCAGAAATCATGAGACCTGTGGTCACAAGGCCGTGGGCTTCTCTGTGTGCGGCCTGTCCCTGTCCCCTGAGGGACACCGCCATCCAGCCCCAGGAGGGTTCTGAAGCTGATTCAGTCTTCGAGTGCCACCTCCTGCTCAGGGCCCCCTCCACCCCAGCTCTGGGAAAACACTGAGTCACTTCTGCTGTGTCAGAAAGCGTCCGTCCCTGGGCTGTCCGTCCTCGGGAGGAAGTGAAGGCTCCATGCCCGGTGTCAGCAGAGTTCCAAGATGCCGCTGTCCCACACTGTGCCACTCACAGGGTGCCAGAGGCTTGTGCTGGGAAGAAGGACAGCAACTGTCCGCTTCCCAGCTCCAGCCTCTGTTGGAAGACTGTCCCGGGGTCTCCATCTGCACAATGCATCACAGCATACTTCCCGCCTGAGACACTTCACCCTGGTTTTCTCCTAGGTCTCCACCAACTTTTTTTCTCTCACCCCCAGAGACTGCAAATATTGACCACTCGGGTTGGGAGTAGGGAGACCAAACCCAGCTGTGGGGGTAAGAAAGAGCTAGGGGGCTGCAGCCATGGAGCCCCTCCCAAGGGCTAGAAGGATGATGGGGGCCCATCAGGACTAGCCTAGAGTTAGGGCCCGAGAGAATCCGGTGAGAAAAAGAGAACCCCAAGCATCTTGGGTAGACGAGTGAGCAGGGGTTTCTCAGACCCCCGTGGTGTGCTCTGTGGAAAGCTTTGGAAGCAGCAGAGACTCCTGGAGTAACCATGTTCTCCACCTGCCTCAGGGAATGGAAGCCAGCTTCTGGCTGCCGGGTGGCTACAAGGGAGATGGCTAAGCAGAAAGGGCAGAACCCAGAAAGGCCCTTCCCAGTGGAGTGGCAATATTTCCAGAGACCTAAAGTGGCAGCCAGAGCATGGATAGCCCCCTACCCTAGGTGTGCAAAACAAATGCCCTTTCAGCTTTGTTCCTTGTGGCTGAAATGGACTTTTCTGCACCCTGACCACAGACTAGCTCAGTGGAAAAAAAAAAAAAAAAAGCCTGTTCCACAGGCAGCAGATAGCTGGCTTTGAAATGCATGAGAAAGAAAGAGAAAGTACCACAGACAGTGAGCCTGTGGCCCAAGTGGACCACTGGAGGCCATCCTTGCTTGCTGCCTGCTATCAGATTACAGAAAAGAATTGCTTGATCAGCTTGCAGGGTCCTAGCAGCAAGTGACAGCAACAGCCCTTCGGGGAAGGAAGGCCCAGCCCAAATCAAAGTCCCCAGCAGGGCTCAGAGGGTTTGAACTGTGCTGTTGGTCAAGGTGGGTGGCAGTGCGGTGGCGTTGGCAGAGTGGGTGTTGGCCCAGTCTGGGAAGGTGCCCAGCTGGAAGACGGTCTGTGCCCAGGTGTTCATGGCCAGGCTGAGCAGCAGGACGCCCATCAGGTTCATCAGGAGGCCAGTCCGCACCTGCAGTGGAGACCAAGCGAGCTGAGCAACACAGGCCCTCAGAACAGATGGAAAATGGTGGTTCAGCCCACAGCTGGCAGTACTACAGTCAGCCATAAACATAGGCCGCAGATGCTTCCAAGACCCAGGTGGCCCCCAGACCAGGTGAGCTCCCCACTCCACGGAGGGTCTCTAGGTGCCAGGCACCTGGCTACGGAGTGGTCATGGGTTATGCCCATTAAGCACAAAGACCATGTCAAAAAGGTTACCAACTCCTCTTTGAGACAGAGAAAGGCAAGCCTTGTCCGATAGTCTTATTTGATCATTATGCCTCTCCCCACACTCAGCACACACATGTAGACACAGGCACACATGCACACACATACCTACACATGCGCAGGCACACACACGCTGGAGATTCGGTTAAGGAAATTCTCCTTTTGAGACAGGGTCTCAGCTAACCTAGGCTGGCCTCAAATTCACCATGTCCCCGAGGTAGGCCTTGAACTCCTGATCCTCTTGCCTCTGCCTTCCAAGAAGCTGGGCTTACAGCTATTTTTTTTTTAATAACCTGTCTATGTGATGTTTCTACCAACATATTTTCAAAGCACCTTGATTTGTGATAGGTGTTACTATGAAGCTTGATGAAACATGCTGCTTCTGGGCCATGCTCACTTACATTTGGCTCCAGAATAAACCATCTCTTCCCCTCACTGAGGTGAGGGCTGTTTTTGCTTTGACAGCTGCAAGTTCAAAGCCAGCAAGGGTCACAAAGCGAGACATCTCAATTGCTCTGGGCCTGCTTCCTGAGACCCAGACCCTACATCTAATAACCTTATTCTCTTGGAACCCACTCAGCCCCAGCAGTCCCTGGCCCTGTGTATCTGGTGACATGGAGTGACCCCATTTCCCCACTTCAGGCCTTTGCATGGGCTGGGCTCTCTGCCTGGACAGTCCCACCCCAACCCCCACCCCCACCCCATGGAGGAGGCACCTTGCAAGGCTGGTGAATCACCTTCACAGAGGAGTCATCTTGCCCACACCATCATTCTCTTTCGAGCATCTTGTACTTCTTTTTTTTTTTCACTTAGCAATTCTGAGATTCACGTTATTTTTAACGCATAAGGCATAGTCTTCCCTCTGGCCTCCGGCCTCAGAAAGTAGTCTCCCAGGAGGCAGGCGAGGCCTCTCTTGCACTGCTGCCCCCCAGTGGCTAGACCACAGATTACACTGGGCAAACCCAACCAGGGAAAGAGTCCCGGAGGAACTTCTTTCCCTTGCCTCTTCCTCACTCTCACTCTGCCCCCATTTATCCTGTTGGGCTCTTATGTCTGCTTCGGTAGATTGTCCTTAGCTGTGTGAGCTGAGGACGCATGGGGAGGTGGTGGCTATGGATAGAGGAAGAGGAAGAAGAGAAAAAGAAGGAGGAAGATCATGAAGAGGCAGAATAGGAGCAAGAGGAGAAAGAGGAGGAGGAGGAAGAAGAGGCAGAGAAGAAAGTGAAGCATAAAGCAGTGGTTCTTAACCTGTAGGTGGTGACCCCTTTAGGGGTAGAATTGACCCTTTCAAAAGGGGGGAGTCTAAGACCAGTAAAAAAATACAGATGTTTGCATTATGCTTCGTAACAGTAGCAAAACACAGTTAAAAGTAGCAATAAAAATAATTTTATGGTGAGGGGGTCACCACAACAGGAGGAATTATATTAAAGAGTCATAGCATTAGGGAGGCTGAGAACCAGTGGTATAGAGGAAGAAGAGAATAGAGGAAGAGGAAGAGGAGGGGGGAGGAAAGGAGAAGGAGGGAGGGGAGGAGAGGAAGAGAGAAAAAGGAGGAGGAGGACTGTCTCAGTGGGAGGATCCAGTTGGGGCATGGAACAGCCTGGCGGTGTTGGCTGTGTCTGGCCATCACCTACCCCTCTTCTTGCCAGGCCACAGCTGAGAAGGCCCACACTTACCATGTCTTTGACCAGCAAGTGTCCAGTGGAGAAGGCAATAGAGTTAGGGGGTGTCGAGACTGGTAGCATGAAGGCATAGGAGCAGCCAACCGTGCCTGGAATCATCAGGTACAGGGGGTGCACATGCAGTCGAATGGCCTGGCCAGAAGAAGTCACAGTAAGAAACTGAGGCCACTGGAGAGAGACTTAACAACACAGAGACTGTCAGAGTGACAGAGAACAGTAGAACAGAGAACGTGTCGTGAGAGGAATGACAGGGTCAGAAATGGAGACAGACACATAAACACATGACATGCAGCTTCAGAGGAACAGAAGAACCTTCTAAAGGTCAATGCCAATAGGGCCACACTTCATTTTACCAGGGAGTAGACGAGGAAACTTACTGAGAACCCTCCCCCCCACAGGAGGGAGCCTGCGGGCCCAGCTCCTCCAGAGTAAGATTCAGAGGTCTGAGCGGGACTGTACCTCTCATACGTTCCCAGGAGCCCTGGGTACAGCTGGTCCAGGGCCATAGGCTGAGAACCAAGGCTCACATAACCAGGCTTGGCCCTGCCCTCAGCTATGCTACCCTAGTCGCTTTGAGGCACTTTTGGTCAGGGTCTGGCTGGAGTTGAAAGAGCAGGTGGGGGTCCCCTTGGCAAGCGCTGCCATGTTCCTCTAATGGAGTCCAGTGTGACTTGCTCCCAGGTCTATCTACCCTCCAGGCTGACTGTATCTCTGGAATTCCCTAGAGAGAATTTCTGCAACCCAAAGTATAGGCACTTTCTAGGAAGGATCAAGCATTGTCCCCAGTCTATAAGTATTTTTATTTTGAGGGGAAGCCATATTTAAATATCCTTCATTTGTATTTTTTCCAGAACGGCCAGTTACAGGCTCCCTCTCCTCCTTTATACCGCCTCACAGTATCCCCATCTGTACCTGTTACCAGGTACCCCAGCCTCCAGGACAGGATCTGATTTATCCAGTCCCACTTAGCAAGGACCTGAGGACTCCTGGCTGCCCCTGCAGAGGGCAGTTTGCTTGCATTCAGCACTTTCCAATGCTCATGCTCTTTCACCTAGGAACTCTGGAATGAACCTTGTCTTGATGTTAGCAGCCTGTTTACATAAGGCGAGGACTACTGGGGATAGCTTTCTGGAAATGTGTGCCTGTCCACTAAGACAGAGCTGAAACACTGTAATAACCATCTGCAGCTTTCTGGAAATGTCTGGTTGTCCACTAAGACAGAGCTGAAACACTGTAATAACCATTTGCAGCTTTCTGGAAATGTCTGCCTGTCTGTTAGCACAGTGCTTAAACACTCTGACCATTTACAGCTGGAAATGTCTGCCTGTTCATTAGGACAGAGCTTAAACACTAGCCATTTACAGCTTCCATTTACAGTGGAATCTGTTTCAGGGGTTGAAAAAAAAAAAGGACACATGTACGTCTGAGGCTGATACAGTATCAACTCCATTAAAAACAGAAACATAATAAACAAAGAGATAAGGAGATAAAGCACTCCCTCTCCAAATGTGGGTACCTCACTGCTACCACGGTTTCATTTTATCAGCTTTGGACTCTATGAATGGTGTGCTATGCCTTGCTTTTCTTCAATCTGCTTAAACATAAAGTGAAATCCATAGTTTCCTAACATCCACCCTGGCCCCCCTTTATTTCTGACACAGGGTTTCCCTATGTAGCCTCTATCCTGGCACTCAGTTTGTAGACCAGGCTAGCCTTGAGCTCATAGAGATCTGCCTGCCTCTGCCTCCCAAGTGCTGGGATTAAAGGCATGCACCATCAGATCTGGCTACCTTTTAAATCCTAAAATGCTGTTGGCAGCTTGTGCCCTTAGCTAGTCCTGGCTGGACGTTGGCCAAGCATTGCCCCCTCCCCCCCCCTTGCATACCGGCTGACTTTCCCCTGTTTTTTTTTTTTTTTTCCTTCTTCTTCCTGGTTTCCTCAGGACTTTTGCTGAATCCATCATAGACTGCAGGACTTTCTATATCTTTCTATGCCCTGGGAATAGTTGGGGTGAGGTGGAAACTGACAGGAAGGTTTGCTGGATCTTGCCTAGCAAAGGAGGGTTCTGGATAAAGCATCCTGACCTCTCCCAGCCCAGCCCATCTGAGACTGGTGCCTCTTATAGCAGAGGGTCTCAACAGGCTGGGACGTGCCCTCCCCTGGAGAACTCTCGGCAGTGTCTGGTGCTGTTGGATTGCCACTGCCACAGGGTGCTTCCGGCCCCTGGTGGGTGGAAGATGGGGAGTGCTCTGATACAATGTGCAGGGCAGCCCTCCTTGCAGAACATTCTCGGACTAACACAGGAGGCAACAGTGCTGTGGCTGGACTTTCCCCTGCGCTGCTCTGGAGACTCAAGAGCTTCCGTGTCACACGAATCGTTTCTCTCCCTAAGCAACACAGCGTGTCCCCATGGGTTAATTCTCCCACAGAGGGACCCACTGCTCTTTGAGAATTACCCCACTGAGGTGTTCCTTTACGAAAGAAGCCCGTGCCATTTGTGAATCGGCTCTGTGGTCCAAGTTCCCCTCTGGAAGCAAGCAGGGCAGCTGGAGCCCCAGGGAAGCTCTGTACCGGGGACCCCGAGTTGGGAGCTGGGCAGGAGGTGTCCCTTCACTTTGTCCCATGGGGATCCTCACCAGCTCTGCCAGGACGGGCAGGAAGATGATGATGGTGGCTGTGTTGCTGGCGAACTCTGTGAAGAAGGCGATGACCACGGTGATGAGGAGCACGGCCAGCACCGGGGGCACGTGCTCCAGCGGGTGCAGCTGCCCGCCAATCCACGCTGACAGCCCTGACTCCTGTGGGCAGAGAAGCCCTCAGTGCCATTCCCCGGCACCATCCTTCACAGGCAGCAACCAGTGAAGTCCCTTTGCCTCTGCCTCTACAGGGTCCCCTACAGACCCCTGGGACCCCCCCCCAAGATCTATTTGATTAGAAAGCAAAGTCTCTGTTTCCATTTGGGTCCGGTGCCCAAAGTTCCAGCTTGAGTGGGAGAGGGAACCAAACAGACCCATATGGCTAGGGTCTTATTTCTCCAATAATGGTTACCACTTAAAATTCCTGCTCTTTCTTCTATAAAAGATTACGTATTGTTACCACATGGCTACATGAGGACACATTAACATGTATAAAATCTATATCTCATATACTATTGATAATATAAAACATATGTAATGGTTAGTTTAAATCGCCCACTTGACCCATTTTAGAACCACCTGGGAAGAGAGCCTCACTAGGGATTCTCTTGATCAAGCTGGCCTGTGGGCAAGTGTGGAAGGGATTGTCTTAATTATGTCCCTCCACGTGGGAAGGCACAGCCCACTAGGGGCAGAGCCATTCCTCGGGCTTGGGTCATAGATTATGTAAGGGTGGGGAGAGCAAGCTGAGCACAAGCATGCATTCATTCCTTACTCCCTTCTTCTGGTTATGGGTGGAATCTGACCTCCTCCCTTATGCTCCTGCCTTGGTTTCCCTGCTATGATGGACTATAACCCGGAATCGTGAATAGAGATAAACCTATTGTCACTTAAGTTGCTTTTGTTGGGGGTATTTTTATCACACCAACAGGAAAGGAAACAGGAACAGGGTGTGTCTGATATATCAAATGTGACACAATGTGATTAATGACAGATTTATGAGCAGCCCTACGGGATTTTTATCACAATGACAGTTAACCAAGAAACCAATATTAACATGGTATCATTAGTCACCCTCATAAGAGTCGCCATTATCAAGGCTGGGCACCTACTGCCATCTTCAGGCTCCTCCCTACCATCCTGTCCCTGTTTCACTGAAGAGAAAAAAATATTTGTGACCTTGCCCATGGCCTCATAGCAGTGACAGAGATACCTACCTAAATCCATATGAACTTCTAGAAAGTTGCCTACAGTTTCCACCTTCCTCTGGAGCAGCTGATCTGCCACTTGACTCTTTTTTTAATGATTTACTTATTTTATGTCCATTGGTGTTTTGCCCATATGTATGTCGGTGTAAGGATGTTGGATCCCCTGAAACTAGAGTTACAGACAACTGTGAGCTCCCATGTAGGTACTGGGAATTGAACCCGGGCCCTCTGGAAGAGCAGCCAGTGCCCTTAACTACTGAGTCATCTTTCCAGCCCCTGTCACTTGACTCTTAATTAAGAGCAATGCCCACCTGGTGTGGTGGTTCACACCTGTAATGTCAATACATGGGAGTTGGAGGAAAGAGGATCCCCTGGCAACACATTGATACCAGGTCAGCTTGATACTGTCCCAAGCAAACAAGCAAAACAAACGAAGATCAATGTTCAAAGTGGGCCATAGTTTCCAGGGCTTGGAAGGACAGGAAGGCTCCCTAGACTTCTCTCTCTGACCAATGCTACACAATTGCCGGGGTACCCTCTCTACTGACCTCTTCGGAACCACCTTGTTTAACAGAGCATTACGCACACACCCTCTCCCACCACCGGATAGATCTTCCAACACTGATCCAGGCCAGCCTTCATAAGACCTCCAAGCTGGCGGCCCCTCAAGCGGGCCTAAATAACAGTGCAGCCAGCCTAGAGCTCTTCCTGAGAAAGGTAGCAGCTTTGGGGGCCGGTCCAAGGCAGAGCTGAATGAGCCTCAAGCCCTGCAAAGTAAATGCCTGCCTACCACCGCCCAGTAACGACCCCATACCCTCAGGTCCCGAGCACATCATCTGTCAGAGATGCTTGACACCTTCTCCTTCATGAACGAGTGAAACACTCGCTGCTCATTCTGAAGTTGTATTTCTTACTAATTAATCTATTTGCCTTTGTGGTACTGGCTACTGAACCCAGGACTTCCCACATGTGAGGCAAGCGCTCCACCACTGAGCTCTACCCCCAGGCCACCCTTTGCTCTTCACTCTGGGACTGAATTGCCCAGGCTAGCCCTGAACTCACTCTGTAGCCCAGGCTACCCTGTAACTTTTCATCTCCCTACCTCGGTCTCCTGAGTAGCCGGGGTTGCATTCGTGTGTCACCATATCTGGCTTTACAAGATTTCTTGATAGATTTTGGGGCACAGCAGCTGTTGTCCAGAGATAACAGCACATTCAGTTCTCTGATTTACCTTAGCATTTACTTTGAGGGCCCGAGTAATAAGAGCTTAAGAAGCTGGTAGGGTGGGGTGGTTTATACCTTTAATCCCAGAACTTGGGGAAGTAGAAAACAGGATGATCAGGAGTTTGGGGACAGCCGTGGCTACAGAGCAAGTTTCAAGCCAGCCAGGGCTGCAAGGGTCTCTACGTTAACAAACCAAAGCCGAAGAATGAAAATCAAAACAAAAACAAACGACAGCTTAGACCTAGTTCATTCAGGGAAAGTCCTCATAGCATTAAGGCCTTTTCTGTGACTTGCAGAGCTCTGTGAGAGGCTGAGCCAGGCCTTCATGGCTACTGGGAGAGCAGGGTAGCCAGGGCTCCCTCAAGCCATGGTCTGGCACAATATCCTGCTGAGAGAGACTGTTAATGACCTGTGGCCTGGCCTCTGGGGGGAGAGGCCTCTAGCCAGCCTCCCAGTGCCTTGACTTGGGGTCCTCAATGGAGGGAGTCTTCGTCCTCTCAGCTCGCTGAGGTTCTTCTGGGGACACTAAAGGGATTTCCCCCAGTCCTTTTCAGGTCCCTGAGGAGTCATGGGCTTGGTTGCCTTAGAAACACAGCCCCCAGAATCCCAGGGAGGCCAGAGACCAGCAGCACCAGAGCCAGCCTGGGTAGAGCTAAGTAACCGGGCTAAGTGTGCTTCCCAGCTAACCCTTCACTTTCCCTATGCCTCAGTTTCCTTTTCTGTCAAGCAGATGTCATGAGCACGAAAAGCAGCTGACCTAAAATGTCTGGGCATCGTGAGTGCTATGTGGCCGGCTGTCACTAGCCAGATGCCTATGGGGAAACTCAGCTGACTGACACAGTGGCTGTCTGACTGTTCCCTAGAGACCCCCAAAGGCAACCAGCAGACCCAAGGCTGGCATTTCTCTTAACACTGTTTTGCAAAAGAAGATGGAGGGAGACTGAGCGTCCAGGTGGTGTCTCTCTTTCCCCTCTGAAGAGCTAGATCCTCTCTCTGTGCTCTCCTCACTCCATAGTGGAGCCATGTTTCTTAAGGACGGTTCAAGTCAATGTTCAAAACCCAAAACCTAGTCCCGGTGAGGGACTAGGAGCTGGACAGACAGACAGGAAGAAGGGCCACAGGGCCAAGCTTCCCACTTCTTCCTCACCCTTCTCACCTGAGACAAAAAGTCCCACAGCTTGAAGTAAAAGGTCTTGGAGACTTTATCTCTTGATAGTAACCCCCTCTTGAGGATGGACCAGTCTGACAAGTTCAAAGCCAGACCAGGATGTGCTTACCTCAAAGGGGTGGGCTTGTTGGCCTCCCTGTTTTTTTTTTTTCCCCAAACTGATCAACCCTCAATTGGGGAGGGGTTTGATCCTCACAGACCCTTAAAACCCTAACCTTCATGGAGAGGCTGGCTTTTAGCCCCTCAAGCTATGTTCTTGATCTGCAGAGTTCTTCTCTCTGTGTGTCTGTCTCCCTCTGTCTTTGTCTGTTTGTCTGGCTTTCTCACTCTCTCCCTTTCTGTGTGTGTGTGTGTGTGTGTGTGTGTGTGTGTGTGTGCACGCGCGCGCGCGTGCACATGAGTGTTTCCTCACCCCTAAAAACAAAACAAAACAAAAATCTTTTAACCGCTAATTCCATCTGCTACTGTCAGCTGTGTTTGAGATTTTCCCGGCTTCTACTTGTGGCTCTACATCATCACCCCCAGCTCCCCCTTCCCCCCCCCCCACCGCCTTTTAGTTCTTTAAGTGGCAGAGAAAACGAACCTAATCAAGGCCCCAAGAATGTAACACTGGGGCCCTGGGAAATCTCTCTAAAGGCCTCATAAAACACAGTAGACTCAGCTCAGTGAACTAATTCTTAGGAGAGACAAAGCAAGTCTGAGGAAAGAGAAGGCTGTAGTGTGAGCATTTAACCATTGCAGCACTTAAGAGCTCTGTGATCTCAGAGAAGCTACCTAACAGTTCTGTGCCTCCATTTCTTTAAGCGACTGTGAAGCTTAAATGGGGCCATGTAAAAATGGCGATCCCTGTCTATAAGCACAGAAAAGAATTTGTTATTTTTGAGGTTTTTTTAGATTATTTTTTAGTGTTTCCCTCCATGTTAGGTATTTCCTTTGCTAATATCAATATAATTTCCATGACCATGCATAAAGTGGATGGTGCAATTTTTCCTATTTTATGGTTGAAGAAACTGAGGCACTATGAGCTTCTGCTAGCTAGTTTCATGTCAACTGACACAAGTTGCCTCCACGCTGTAGGGCATTTCCCTAATTAGTGATGGATGGGGGAGGACTTAGCCCATTGTAGGTGATATCATTCCTGGGCTGGTGGTCCTGGGTTCTATAAGAAAGCAGGCTGAGCAAGCCATGGGGAGCAAGTCAGTAAGCAGCACCCCTCCATGGCCTCTGCATCAGCTCCTGCCTGCAGGTTCCTGCCCTGCTTAAGTTCCTGTCCCGACTTCCCTCAGGGATGGACTGTTTCCTGGAAGTATGAGCTGAAATAAACCCTTTCTTCCTCAAGTTGCTTTGGCCATGGTGTTTCAGCACAGCAATAGCAAGCCTGACTAGAATAGAGCTGAAAGATATGTTCTGAGCTTAGACTCTGGGTCTTGGCCATTAGCAGGTCATATATAAAAACCGGTTGCAATTTCCAGTGGAAAGCAGCCGACGATGGCAGGAGCACACACCCCTGCCTGCCTCTGGGACTCATAGCCTCTGACTTAACCTCAAGCTCCCGGAGCTTGGTGGTTTTGTACTTAAGATGTGATTTACACGCAAGAAGGCACCAGCGCACAACCAGACACAAGACAGCCAGCTGCCCGCAGCCGTGGCCGCTGTGAGGTTCTGTGTGCTCACGGCAATGGCCAGCACTGAGGTATATGGGGTTTCTAGTGTGTGCTTTGCAGCAGGCAGCCTGAGGCAGTCCTGTTATGGCTTCTAGGGAAGCCACATGCCCAGGCCCCACCTATGTTCCAGCCAGAGATCCCCAAGCCTTGGGTGGCCTGTGAAGGCCCTGGACAGGGTCCAGAAGCAAAGAGGTGTCACAAGCTTCCTGGTAGCTACTGGGCCAGATTATGCCGCCTGGGGACAGAGGCTGGGGTGAGGGGCAGCTAGTAGACAAAGGCCTCACTGAATGGAAACCCTGGCCGACTGCCCAGCGCTGGCCTCCCATCATTGCACTACAGCCCTGCATCCCAGCCCCAAGCCAGTGCCCCTCCACCCATCCCCCAGCCTGGGGAATGCTCTGGGGTACAGGGTCTCCAGCAGCCCCTGCCCCAGGGCCAGGCTGCGCCAGTCACTGTAGCAAAAGGCACCTAGGCCACTGAACTGTGCAGGCCCGAGCCTCCCCATCACCTTCCCCTGGACCTTCAGTGTCCAAATAGCCAGCCACGCTGGGCTGTGTCCTAAGTACTGTCTCATAACACTATTGTGACAACTCCAGAAGGTGGCTGCCCTGTCATTCCCGTTCTACAGATGGGGAAATTGAGACCCAGAAGATTTAGTAAATTGACCAAGGTCAAACACAAGAAAAATCCGTGATTCTAGTGGAGACAGTATGGTCCCTCTGCTGGCCTGACCCTCTAAACGTGGACAACATGCTACTTCCTCCGGCAAGCCTTCCCAGATACACCATGTAAGAAGGCACAGCCTTCCTTCTTTCAGAGACATCCTTAGCTGGCTATGGCTTTGATTGCCTAAGGTGGAGTTGATTCTCAAGTGCCTGGCCTGGGATCTCTTGGCGCTGCCTTCCCCTAGCTGAGCAAACAGGATTTGCATGTCTGTCTTTCAAACGGGGACAGCAGTTAAGAACGTACCTCAGTTGCATGATGCCCTGGTTTGATCCCCAGTACTGCATAAGACAGCCACAGTGGCGCGTGCCTGTAATCCCAGATTTTGGGAGGTGGAGGCAGGAGGTGCGAGCATTAAGAGTTCAAGGTCATCCTTGGCTAGGTAGCAAGTCTGATGCCACATGAGATCCTGCCTCAACAGCGTGGGTTGGGATGGAGTGGGCGGGGCAACCAAGTTCTCTAGGGGGTGCAGTGTGGCTTCTTGACTTCAGAACCAAGTTCAGTTTGGGTCCCTGCTCTTACTCGGAGCTCCTGGAGATTTAATTATCCACTGCCAAACTTTCCCGACCCATAAAATACTACTTCCATCTTAGGGCCAGGATTAAATGAGACAGTGCCTCAGCTGCACTGCGGGTGTCAGGGCTGGCTCACCCTAACCTCACAGGTGAACAGGCAGCCGGAGCATCCCTGCCTGGTTGGTACCTAGCCAGGTGCCAGCTAGCCTCTGAACTCAGGGTCGAAGGAACTGAAACCAGACCAGGAGCTACATGGTCATTAAAGGGCCACATTGTTATACATTGTTATTAAGTGTCCATGCCTTACAAGAATGAGTTTCTATTTCTAAACCTAGTAACCGGCAAAACATGTTTTTCTACCTGCACTGAACTTGTGACCCCATGATGGATGACCACCCATTGCCTTGCTGAACTCAGGGACCCATTGGTTACCCTTTGCCTTTCAAAAGCTTGTTTTCAAGATACCTTGATCAATACCCATGGCCACCTACGCCTTGATGTGTGACTCCCCTTTCCCATAAAAGGGACCTCAAAAAGCTAGTAAGGGGCTGCTCTCTGAAATATTGACTCATGGTGAGACAGCTGGGGTAGGGGGACAGTCCCGGGTACCCCTCGAAAGTTTGCTTCAATCAGACCGTCATGGAATTGGTCTTTTTCCTCGAACATTTGGGTTTCACAGAATGGCATTTATAGAATGGCCATCAAAATCTAGCACTCCTGTCCCTGGCTGGGGTCAGGGCCACAGGCTTTGGAGTCAGACTGCGTGGATTTGAATCCCAGCATCATAGCTGTGTGACCTTGGGCAGTTCTCTCTACTCTCTGTAGTTCTGGCTTTATTGCACTGAGTGGGGTAACAGCAGCATCTGCCTCAGAGGTTTATGGGGAGGTCTAGCTAGGGTCATACGTCAGAAGCAGAGTGACGCATGCGCTCTGTGTCACCCCAATGCTAGGGCTAGCCTTGGCACACACCCATTGTGGGACCCCTGGGGCTGCACCAGACCTCATGCCTCCCTTTCTACACTGCCAGGCACTGCACGCAGATTCACAGGCTACAATCAAGACTTGTCCTAACCTGGGTAACAGGGCCTGGCTGTCTCCTCACTTGCGCTCTGGCTAGGAGACTGGTCACACTTTCCAGGCCCACATATAACTCCAGGTCTACTCAACAGCAGGCCCAAAACACCACCTCTCCTGGGTCTTCACAGATCCTGGGCCTGCAGCATCCCTGTCTCCAGCGCTAGCCCTCAGCCTTCCCTCTACAGTCCTCAGTCTTCCTAAGCCTACGGCCTCCATTTTTCTCTGGTTCCTCCCTTGCCGCAGTGGCCCCGCCCACGGCCTCCATTCTTCCCTGGCTCCTCCCTTGCCACAGGGGCCCCTCCTTCCAGGCGAAGCCTGTGTTCTTTCTGTGCCCACAGCAGCTGTTCCTCCCTGGCCAGAGTCTGCTCCGAATGCCCAACAGCCTTCTCCTCCCTCCCTGCAGCCCCCTGCCCCTCCCAGGCCACAGTCCTCCTTCCTCTGGTCCACTGCCCCCAAGTCACCCCAGCTCTCACCTCGCAGCCTTTGGCCATGGCGAAGCCGCCTCCCAGGAGAAGGATGATATTCCAGGGCACAGTCTCCTGGGCTTTTTTCCAGCTCAGCAGGGGCTCAGTCTCTGAGTTGGGAGCTAGGTAGAGAAAGGGACCCAGTCTGGCTCGGAGCTGCTTAGCTGGGGGGAGGATAGCAACCCTCATCTTTGTGGGAATTTTCAGGGACCCCAGGAAGCCAAGTCCTACTTCTAAGATCTGTGTTGGGGCTTTAGGGAGAACCCCCACCCCCCATCAGAATGAAAATCAATTTCAAGGCTCCTATAGTTAAGAATATTCTGGACCCAGGCTCTCCGAAAGCCAAGACACTGTTTAAATGTCTCACCAGCCTTTCTGGCTAAGGGCTATTTTTATCCTCATTTACAAGAGAAAAGCCTTTTCTCTGAGTTTGAATGTGGGGACTGTGGACCCAGGAGAAGGGGTTTTGGCATTTTGGTTTTGAATGCCCATTCTCCAGTGACAGAGTAGGTCTCTCTGTGCAGCTTTCTGTGTCCCGGACTGTAGCCCAGGAGGCATGGGTGCTGCGGGGCCCAGAGTCTGTGGAGACTGTGGACCCGGAAGTGGTGGATTTGACCTTTTGGTTTAGAAAGCTCATTCTCAAAAACAAAGAGCGAAAAGAGGAAGGAAACAGAGAAAAATAGACTCCAGGGTTCTTGAGCCCCTGGCGTTGTGTGTGTGTGGGGCTACCGTTTCCTGGAAAGTGGCACCGGACAGCAGCGGTTTCGCTGGGGGTAGGTGGGCAGCAAACAGTGCCCCTGGAGTTGGAGGGAGATGGGCTGGGCTCTGCAGGCTGGAACTGTGCTTGGGAACAAACTGCAGTGCAAAAACAAAGGCAGGGGACAGCCAGACTTGAGACACCGAGTTAATATGTTCTTTTTAAGGTGGGTGCCTTGGGCCAGTGAGTCCACCTCCGTGAGTCTTGGTTTCCTCATCTACGAGAGGGGGCTCAGGAGTGAGAGGGGCTCAGCCCTGGTTCTTCGTCTGACCACTGTATCCTACATGTCCACCTTGTGGTTAATGCTCTTCTTAACAGCACAGACACAAAGTCTGTGGAGATCAACTCTTTCTTCGGAGAGTGAACGAACATCCCCCAGGGGAGACAGGTAATAAACGAATACCTCTCAGTGTTGGGAAATACCATGGTTTATAAGGAACAATCAAATACGTGATAGAACACGATTGATTGAATAAAACGAAATGAGCTCATGGTGAGACGAAGCTATACTGTATAAATGCAGGCTTATTAGGAGCAGTGCAGGAAGGGGAGTGTATCCCTGGGGTGGGGGAAAGGGATAGGGAGAGCAGGAAGGGGAGAGAGTGGGAAAAGAGAAAGGGGGGCAGAGAGGACCAAGATGTCTGGATTGTATAGTGAGGGGCTTCTGGGAAAGGAAAAGCCCTGCCCTTAGGCAGAGGGCTGGGCATGCTAGCCACACCCTACAGCAGGTAGGGATTTTAACAGAACACAGAGAGGGGGAGGGCTTCTCCCAGGAGGTGGCATTTGGGCAGAGCTCTGAATGATGCAGCTGAGTAAGCCAGGCAAACATCTGAAGGCTGGGCAGGAAGTAAGCGTTATCCTTGTCATCATTATCATTGTCATCACCATCATCATCACCATTGCCATCACCATTATCCTCTTATCAACCACAGCACAGTGCCCAGCCACCTAGGTCCTGGACCAATACTGACTGATGATTAAAGAAAGGCATATCACGAAGGGAAGGCAGTTGGTGTGACCAGGGTATCCACCTGGCCTGGTCTCTATAGCTTATCTCTTTTTAATCAGGTCTGTGATCTTCATGAGGTGCCTTCTTCCTGTAGAAACCGAGTAGCCCCTTCCGGGGCTTCATGGTTCCTACTCCATGGAGGAACACTACAAAGTGTTGCCTCAGTCATGTCTGTGTCAGCCAACTGGTAGGCCAAGGGTGGCCATGCATGGAGTCCCCTTTCCTGCCCGCACACTAATTCCAGAAACCCCAGGCTGACAGCCCACTGCAGAGGGGACACAGTGACTCCATGGACCTGACTGATCACACTGAATGACTTCACGCTACTGTTCTGGCCCCACGAGTTGGTGCTACAATTTGAATTATTTGGCGATGTCTAACTAGGAAAGATTCCACACAGAAATCTAGATTCATTGCTTCTCTTGAGAGAAAAGTTAGAAAAATTGAACGGAAACTAGTTGCGTTTTTGTGTATGGTGGCAAAGCAGAATTGCCAGGTACAAGTATGTACAGCCATTACATGTCCAGGGATGGAGCTCTTACCATCACAGAATAACAATGTATTCTGTCTTACCACCACAGAATTTATCCTGTCTTACCATCACATAATAACAACTTATTCTGTGATGAGTAATCTTATTGTCAGCTTGGTTGGTTTTAGGATCACCATGGTAACCCACCTTTGGGTATGTCTGTGAGGGTGTTTCCAGAGAGGTTTAACTAAAGAGGAAAGAGCTATGCTGAGTGCGGGCAAACCCTACCATCCCATGGGGCAGGGTTTGAGACTGAATATAAAAATGGGAAGCTGAGCACCATCTTCCTCTCTCTCTGCTTCCTGACTGTGGATGCAACGTGACCAGCCCCCTCCAGATCCTGCTGCCATGCCTTTCCCCGCCATGACAGATTGTTTCCCCTCAAAGTGGGACAAAGCAATCTGGTTTCATTCTGTTGCTATGGTAAAACACCCTGACAGAAAGCATCTGAGGGGAGAAAGGGTTTGCTTAGCCTATGATTCCAGGTTCCAGGATGCTAAGCACATCCGCAGTGAAGAGTGGAGAAGGGATACATACATTCATGTACACTGCGCAGCTTGCTCTCTCTCTAATCCTTAACAGTTCAGGACCAAAACCCAGAGAATGGGTTCTATTCACTTTAAAACTGGATCTTCCAAAACCAATGAATACACTCAGACAGTCCTCCATTGCAACTCTCTTGCCAGGTGATTCCAGATGATTAAAACCATCAAACCTTTTCCAATATGCTTCTTGTTAAGTGTTTGGTCACAGTAGTGAGAAAAGTAGTGAATTTGCCCTCTGCTGCTGAGTCCTTATGGTGTGGAAGCTGTCAATTGTTCCAAAGATGTGAGAGGACAGTCCTGCGAGCTGCACTTTCTTGCGGCCACTAAGCTGAACCTAGATGTTGTCTCTAGAGGCATTAGACTTTGCAAGCCAGATCTACCAAATGACCACTGCCAGAGGCAAGGTCCACAGGACCCCTGCATGTGTAACTGGAAGCCAGGCCTAGAAAATGTGGGGGCCTTAGTGGAGGCCACAAACCAAGGTGGAATGACAGTGGGGTAGTAGTCCTCTGTGTCAACATACCTCTCCACAGTGCAGAATATAGGGGACAGATCCTAGACTAAGGGCTGTCAGGTCAAAGACTAGTCAGGAGTCCTCGTTGCTACAAGAGGGCTCCTGGGAAAGACTGCCCAGGTACGAACAGGCCATAGCAACAAGGCCCTTAGTCTGGAAGCATGGATGAGGACTAGAGACAGAAGAACAGGAAAGACTCCAAAGGGCATGACAGTGTGCTACAGGTAGGGAAGGAATAGCCTGGGTCCTAAGAAGACACAGCAGGGAGGAAGATGCAAAGTGGACCTGGGGGAAAGCAGATATACCCGGGAGGGAGGCCCAGGGAAGGGGCTGAGCCTTCAAAACAGAGACACAAGAAGTAGACTCTGAGAAGAGTGAAGCTCTGAGAGAGGGAGAGGCCGAGGGGAGGGAGAGCCTGAGGGGAGAGAAAGCCTGAGTAGAGAGAGAGGCTGAGGGGAGGGAGACCATGAGGGAATACTTCATGGCTTCCAAGAAACCTGACTGACTGTCTTTGGGCAGTTTGCCTCCCCAGTGCCTATCCAATTTAAGTCTAACTCAGGCTTGTCTGACTGGCTCTTCAGGCATCTAAATTGCAATTCCTACCTTGAGCAGGAGTTTCCTCTTAAATATCCAAAAGTAAACATGGTTGACTTTGTGGGCCAAGAGATCAAATTGAGGCCATTGTCTTTACACTCACATAATTAAAAACATGAAACTTCTAAAATCTACTGAGGAAATGAAAAGCCTCCCCCCCCCTTTTCTTTATCTCTTTCTTTCTTTTCTTCTTTCCTTCTTTTTTCTTTCTTTTCTTCTTCTTTGTTTTTTTGACAGCATTTCTCTGTGTAACCTTGGCTGTCAGCAGAACTTGCTCTGTGGAGCAGGCTGGCCTTGAATTCAGTGAATGCCCTGCCTCTTCCTCCTGAGCACTGGGATTAAAGGCAGGTGCCCCTCCACGACTGGGCATATTCATAAAATTATTTTATTATTTTATTTTATTCATAAAATAAGCCTATTTTATGAACCATGGAGCTGAAGTTCATATAATAGTCATATGGCAGTAAATATTTTTCTTTTGACTTTTTCCCCAACCATTTGAAAATGCGATGAGCATCCTTAGCTCATGAGGTGTGTGTGTGTGTGTGTGTGTGTGTGTGTGTGTGTGTGTGTGTGTATGTGTTGGGGATAGATAGCTGCTGGATCTTGCCCAGAAACTGTAGCTGTTATTACCTGCCCTGGACAGCCACCTGGGCATTCCCAGTCCTCAGACAGGGAATGACCTCACTGACTTTGCGGTCAGCAGCTCTGAGAGCTGCTCCCTGATTCCCATGCTCCCCATCCAGCCCTTACCAAGCTGAAGACTCCAGCCATGACCATCCTACCTTTGAAGTCAAACCACCACTTGAGTGAGGGCTTTTGGGATGGAAAGAAGAACAGGATGATGACAATGGCCACGCCGGTGACGGCATCAGAAACAAACCTGCAGAAAGAAGGCCACGAGCATGAGCCTCTGGCTCCTGACAGTCTGTGGACTGGCAGACTTGTAAAAGAGGCTCTGTGGACTGGGAGAAGTCTGCCACAAGAGACACTTAGGGCTGTGGGACCACCGTCCTGCTTTGTGCCCCGGTTGGATGTGGCTCCCAGGATTCCCTAGGGCATTTCACTGCTGTCAAACAAAAGCTTGTTCTCCTGATTTAAGGACCTAGAGTAGGGGCTTTCCAAAGAGAGGAGTTTGAAAGGCTCGGGATATTGGGGTCCATGGAGCACATGTAAATCACCTATCCTGGGGCCCCAATAAGAGCGTATGTGTGTGTCTAGCTTCTGCTGGGGCTCCTGGCACAGGCAGCTCTCCACCAGAGAGGCAGCCACCCACACCAGCCTTACAACTCCTCCAAACCCAGCTTCCATCTTCTAAGAACTCGCACTGTGTCTTTGTGGGAGCTTGGTAGACATGAGGCCTTCAGAGCAGGTTTTGGGAGGAGGCGTTCAGAAAGCACACATGACTTGCTTACGACCAGACCATGGTCTGTGGAGGGCATGGGCCTCAAACCCTGATTTTTCCAGTTCTGAGATCAAGGAAGCCCAGAGCACATTGCTAATTCTTGAAACTCACATCAAACAAGGGTGCTTGAAATTGCCAAGAAGATGTGAGAGCCCCCCAGGAGGGGGCTGGGCCAATCTCACATCACAAGTGGGGCCACTTTTCTGCCATCTTCACGGAGGCCAAGCCTGATGAAGGTATTGGGGTCATTTGGATCATGAGATACTCCATGGGTTAACCTTGTGAGAGTGGCTGGTAGCATGTTTCACACTCCTAACATTCGACCCCTCATCCACCCAGCTATTCTACTTCTAGACATTTATCCTCAAGAATAAGATGCTTAGACATGCCCACCCTCCGATAACTGGCCCCTACTCCCAGGGAAAGGCCTGTGGTCAACAAAGCCTGAGAAGGGCCTTGGCAGCAGGTGTTGGTCCACCCTTCCAACCACAGCACCCATCCTTCCTTCCCACCAGCTCTAATGGTTGAGCCTGTTCCTGCCTTTCCATTCCTTCCAGAACTAACCACAGCCAAGGCCCACCCCATTGTTTTATAGTGCAGCTGACTCTCTTCAGTGCACCCAGTCCAAGCTGCGGCCACTTGATTGTCTAGTACCTGCCCTGCTGTCTGTGCCCATGGCACCAGTCATGCTTAGCATGTGACATTCTCTGTAAGTGGCTGAAGGAACAAATGGTCCACTGAGTCACATAAAGGCTGGGCTAGGATTTTAACCCATTTTTGTCTGAGTGCTTGTCTCCAGAAAAACCAAGTGTTCTCATCCCCCTAACCTCTCTCTGTCCCTCCAGCTCCACATGGCCCACCCCAGGGTCCTCTCATGAAGACCTGCCTTCCAGGTCTGCAGAATCTCACCCAGGGGTGAAGAGACTGGCCCAGCCAGGGATGAACTTCGGGTCCCGGGAGAAGAGGAGAATGGCAAACGTGCAGAACAAGATGAAGACGGCCTGTTCAGCAAACCTGTGGTGCAGAGATGTAGGCATGTTGGTGATCCTGGGCTCAGATTGGTGCCTTTGGGATGGCCCTGACCTGCTTTGGGGAAAACTGAGGGGGCCCATTCACCCATTCACACTCAAGAAAGCCTAGAGCGAGAGAGTATGTCCCAGGGTACAAGCGATTTACATCTGCCCAGGGTCCCCAAAGGCTTCTATCATTGTTAAGAGAAATTGGGTAGGGTCATACACAAAAACCAGACAGACAGACAGGCAGGCAGTCAGAGCAAAATAAAGGCAGAAAAGCAAAGAGGAAGGTAAGGTAAAAATGGAGAGGCATGGGCCAGCTATGTTGGTATACACTTTTAATCCCAGTACGCAGGAGGCAGAAGCAGGCAGAACTCTTTGAGTTCAAGGCCAGCTCGGTCTACATGGTGAATTCTTAGATAACTAGAGCTATATAGAGAGATTGTGTCTCAAAAAAAAATTGGAGGGAGACACACACACACACACACACAAAACAACAACCATACAAACTGACAGGCATACAGAAGGTGACAGATATTCTAAGAGGGTTGTACACAGGGAGAGGCATGGCCAGATGTGGAAAAGGGATACATAGAGGTAGAAAAACAGACTCTCCAAGTCTGGAGGAAGCAGCAAGCAGTGTATCTAGTTCACAGAATGGGGAATGACGTCTGAAGGCACAGAAAGCAATGGCTGAACCACTCATTAAATTTGGGCTTGCTGAAGCCAACTTAATGTTTTATCACATGGGAAACATGCATTAATCAGGCTCACAGCTCTGGGAGGTGGTGTCAGAGATCCCATGTACTAGAAGAGAAAAGGTATCGCAAGTGGAGCAGGAAAGATGCCCAACAAGAGCCACCCTGCGCTTAATGGTCCCTAAGGTGTCTGCCCCAGCATCAGGGCAAGGCAGGAGCCATCTTCTGCCCTCTGTCACCACCGCTCTTAGCCACTGGTCCTGAGGTACACCTGGGACTCACTCAGGGCCAAGCTTGAGGTAACTCCCCAAAACCCAAGGGCAGCTCATTCCCACCCCACCACTCCCTCATACTTGATGGGCCCCAGGTTCTGGAACTCTTCCCGAATCACTGCTTTAGCCTTATCCTCTGCGTCAGCTCTTATCTTAGATTTCTTCTTCCTCCAGCCCCTGGGGTGGAAAGAGCAAGGGTAAAAGTGGTGGCTTCAGGGGGTTGTGGGAGACGACTTTACAGTTTAAAATTCCCTTTTTTTGTTAATTTACTTAGGTATATTTGTTAGCCTGCAAGTGTCCTGGTTCACATGTGGAGGTCAGAGGACAACTTGCAGGATTCTTTCCTACCATGTGGGTTGTGGGTAGGGCATAAGGTTATTGTATCATTCAAGTGCTGATTTCCATATCCTTCATATCTGGTTGCAAACATTGTTCTGAGAATCTCTTGTCTTAATGTTGTATGTCTTAATGTTGTATAGACTCTGTTCCCCAATGGTCCCCTGCTATGCCAATAAAGCAGCTTACAGCCAATCACTGAGCAGGGGAGAGTAGGGCTGGACTTCCTACCAGCCAGGTGGGGAGGGATTAAAAGATAGAAAGTAGGGGGATTCAGCCATGGGCAGAGGTCTAGGACACCCCCAGGAGAGGACATCAGTAGGAAAGCTACAAGGTTCAACTATCCTGGGATGGATGCTGGGAGGAAACCAGATTAACCTAGAGGGTTAAGAGTAGAGGAATAACTGCTCAGTTCTTGTGTTGTGAAGCTTATTATAAACAAATATAAAGAGTCTCAATTATTCACATGATAGCCCAGTTAAGAGTGAAACCAGGAGAAACAAACACAGTTAATAAAAATAACTGTAACAGGTACTAAACTCAAGTTATCGGGCTTCACTGCAAGTGCCTTTACCTGGTGAGCCATCATGATCTGAAGGAATTAATTTCTTTCTCATCTACCTTCCCTGCTGCTGACCTGGCCCAGCCACAGCAGGCCCATCCCAAAGGCTCTGCTACCTGATGCATGGTCTCCTGATGTCTGCCTTTCCTTCCTAAAACTTACGTTCCGTTTGGCCTTTTAAAAATGGAAAATGTGACTGGCCATGTTCTCGGGCTTTAAGCCATTTCACAGGTCAAACACACACAAGGATAAACAAAAAAAATCAGTGGAACGAAACAGAAATGGACTCCATCACAAGTGAGAACTCAGTCCCCATGAGGACAACATCTCAAACTGACGTGGAAAAAGGGGCCATTCAGTCACTGAGCTGTATGTACAGGTCAATGAGATAGGACTGACAGCCCTGGGTTTGTTTTCAGTTCCGGAATTAGTGGATCCTCCGTGCTGTAAAGTATTTACTTGTTTTTGTCCAGGTTCTCCCTACACGGGGGCTCCTGCTGTACCTTGACAGGATTTGGGATCGCCTCTGGCCAGGCCTGTGAGAAACCATTGCATTGACTGAGGTGGGAAGATCCATCTTACTGTAGGTAGGACAGTTCCCTGGGCAGGAAGTCCTGGACTGCAAGATTGGGAGTGAGCGGGTCAGCGCGTGTTTATCACTCTCTGCTTGCTGACCGCGGGTGCCATGTGACCTGCTGTTTTAAGTGTTCCTCGCCTTGACCTCCCTGCCATGAGGGACTGTTCACTTGAACTGTGGGCTGAAATAAACTCCTCTCTTGACTTGCTTCCGCCAGGACATTCAACAGAAACGGGCACTGAGCAGTGGGGCCTTTGCTGTGATAAACCTGCCCATGTGGCTCTCGGGCCTCTGGAACTGGCATTTATGGGAAGAATGAAGAAGAGTTTTGGAGCTTCGGGCTAGAAAAGCCTTCAAATGCTGGGGGCCGAGTTTAATGGGTCCTTCTGGTAGGAGCTTGGAAGACAAGAACGCTAAGAGAAATGTAGATGAGTTAAAGGGGAACAAGGATCCATCAGTACCTGGAATAGGGGCTGTTTGTAGGATTTTTTTTTTTCTGCTCATATTCTGAGAGTCTGAGTGAAGCTGGACTGAGAGAAGGTAGATTAATATGTTTAGCAGAGGAAATTTCAGGGCAGGAGAGTGCTGGGGCGAGCTCTGAGAAAGCAGCTCTAAGTGTTAAAGAGACCAGCACTAAGGAAGAGAAGCCTCCTGTCCTCCGCTGGGACACTGCAGAGGGTGTCCGTTCACCAGAGGGTCCCAGATTCATTTAAAGGAAGAAGCCCACAGCTGAGACAACCCTCAGAGAGTCAGCATAGAGGGACTGACATAACTGGGGCTCTAGGGGGCCAGGCTATATCTCCAGCCCGCAGCAGAATGGCATCATTGCCTGTATGGAGCCGGTTTGGAAGACATGAAAGACGCAAGACTGAGAGGCTCATGGAGAAACTGAGGCAGGGTTGGAGTTCCCGCAGACAGGGCCCGCGCATCCACAGTGTGAAGCTGTGAAGATGAAGGCTGCACTGTGGTGGAGACTTAGGGATGACGGAACGTGGGACATCTGCCAGGGAGTGGAGCTGCCCTAAGGGAGGAGCTGTGTGTGCGCTACAGGAGGCAGGGCTGGGGGAGTGGGCCTGCCCCAGCCATCTGGAGCCTAGAAGACTGCAACATGAGCCCCAGGCGCCAGGCATGGAGCTTCTGGGTTTGGCTTTGGTTTGATTAGCCTTGTTTTACATGACTTCTAGTTTCTTTTAATTAGGTGGTGTTACATGAAGGACACATATAAGCTCACCAAGAATTGGGTAGTGCTACATACATGTGGTATTACATGAAGGACACGTGCACGCTCACCATGAAAAGACTTTAGACTTTCCAAGTGTTCAGACTGCTGATGATCTGGGGAACCTTAAAGTTGTCTGGGTGCACTTGATGCTATAACATGGACATAAGCCCGTAGGGGCAAACGTTGAAGGTTATGCCTTAAAGCAATGTGTTTGGTGTCAAGGTGACAAGGGGCAGGGCTGTAATGGTTGGCACTCACTGCTAATCTGTCAGAATCTGGAATTACCTGACAAATGGACTGAAGCGATACGTCCACACAGCACTTTGTGCTGTTTGGATTTTTGAGCCGTATGTATGTATTGTCTTTTCAAATGGGAAAAGCATTTTAAAGAGAACCCATTCATGGCGTGGTGGTACATGTCTTTAGTCCTAGTACTCGGGAGGCAGAGGCAGGCAGATCTCTGAGTTCTAGGCCGGTCTGGTCTACACAGGGAGCTCCAGGCCAGCCAGGACTGCACAGTAAGTAACTGTCTCAAAAATAAATGAAACCAAGGACCACAAAACAAACAAAAGCCACCCACACTGGCTATCTTGTGTGAGGACCGACTCCCCACAAAGCCTTCAACAAGCTAATTCAGGGCTCCTCAGCATCAGCCCTCCTTGAATTTGGACACGGTTGACTAATTCTTTGTTGCAGGGGTGTCCTGCGCATGTTAGAGTATTAAGCAGTACCTCTGGTCTCCACCCAGGGGATTCCGGTAGCCCTTTTCAACCACGAACCAGAACGTTTCCAGATGTCCCCTCTGGCCACCAGATCACAATCATCCCTCATCACAATCCCTCATCTGGTTTTCTGGCCTTGTGTCCCACAGCTCTCCCTCTCTGGTTTCCTGAGCCCTGCTAAGCCTTCTCTTGCCTTCAGAACACCCCTTGTTCTCCCTTCCCTGGGGCCTTTGCACTTGCTCTTCTAGCTCCCTGCAATGCCCTTCTTCACGTGCAGCTACTCATCTTCCTTCCTCAGGGTAGCTCTGCTCATTATCCATGTCCCAGTTCAACCATCATGCCCCTGGAAGTGAACTCCTGGCCTGCAGGTCAGGCCAGAGGCTCTGGGGCCCACCCTCACTCTGTCCTGGCTGGAAACTCCACTGTGCCCTGTTGCTTACTGAGTACCCCTGACCCAGAGTGCCAGCTCCCCACCACCAGGGTCAGCCTCTGCTTGCTGAAGGCTGCGATGTCAGCATTTATGACTGTTGGGCTCACAAGGCTCAGAAGCCATCTGCTAAGTAAAGATGGAGTCAAGGAACCAAACAGGGCTGTTGCTCCACAGAAACCTCTCTCGGAGCTTCCCTCTATATGTGCTTCCTCCTTCAGGCCTTCACGTGTGTCACACAACTAAGGAGATGAAGGGATCCCGGCTCTGCCTCATTCTCAGCCTCTTGCCCATGCCCCTCACAGAGTGTTTCTCTCAATTGTAGCTTGATTTCATCTACAGGTCTACGAGGGGAGGAATTAAGAGCTGGGAGGCCTGGGGAGGTAGCAGAGTTCAGAACTGCAGAGAGTGAGACTGGAACCCTGGCCAGGCGGCTAAGTCTGGCTGTGCTCTCCCGGTTGAGCTGGCGCTCGGCCTGGGCTTCTGCCATCAGGACCTTGGAAGGTGCCTGAGGCCAGGGGCATCCTGTGGGCACCTCAAAGTGTATATACCTCAGTTCCCAAGTGGATCCCTTTGGCCCCTTTCCACAGAGGATCCAGTCAAGGCCTGGGGATGAGGGATGACCACCTGCTCAGCTCCTGTTTTAATTACTCCCTGACTCTAACCTTATCTGCGTGGTACCTGGCTCACAGTTCCATAGTCCTTCTTTCTAAAGAGACTCGCAACTTTCATTAAAGAAATGGGTTTCCAGGCACTTGTGGTACCACATACCATAATTCCAGCACTGAGTAAGTGGGGACAAAAGGGGGGCTACATAGTGAGACTCTGTCTTAAAGACAAGGGGAGGGGGCCCAGGTCCCCGGCAGAGTGTTTGGCCGGTATGTACAAGGCCCCGGGTTAGATTTCAGGAGCCACAAATAAAGTAAACAGGCAACAATGAATTTAAAGATCAAGCTTCATACCACACTTATAATTGGAAGATAGAAATCAGTGATGGAGCTGGGAGATGGCTCACTGGGTAAAGTTCTTGCTTTTGTCAGCACAAGGACCTGTGTCTGAGCCCTAGGATGTGTGTAAACAAAGCTGGACATAATGCTGCATGCTTTTAATCCCGGCACTAAGGAGGCAGAGGCTAGCTAATTCCTGGTCCAAGCCACCCCCAAAACCAGGGTCACTTCTTTGTTCAAACCGCAATAGGTAGGGCCTGGCAGGGAAGCCTGGGCTTTCTCACCAGCCCTCTAGAAGGTTCCACATACCTCCAGCTCATCCCGCCATAGAGAAAGGAGATCCATAGCCAACCGACCAGGAGGAACAGCAGCATGAGAGGGAAGGCGAAGATGAACCAGGAGCCGAAATTCACCACATCGCACTGTGGAAAGAAACTGGAGAACAGAGGAAAGCAAGGGCAGCCATCCGTCAGGACCACCAGGGCGAGGAGGGAGCCCTCCAGGGGATCAGGACCGAGAGCTAAGGACCCTAGAACAGGAAGAGAAGACTCCTCCCCCTTAACAGAAGATCCCTCCTACTTGACAGAAGGTACCTTTTCTTTTGGGAGAGGGATGGGTTCTGACTCAGCAGAACCACAGGTGCCCTGTGCCCCCCAGAGGCCAGACAGTGATGTGGGCAGGTTGCACCATGACAAACTCAAGTGGTCATTATTCACTAGACAGTGCGTCCAGCCCAGATCTGAGCTTCACTTGGAATTATATGCTATTAGTTCTGGCATCATGTTCAAACATTTCCTCTGAGTCTGACAGCAAACACACCACATCTTGGGTGGGACCTGGAGGTGAAATTTTTTAATCCTAATACTCAGGAGTCAGAGGCAGGAGATCTCTGTGAGTTTAAGGCCAGCCTGGTCTATATAGGGAATTCCAGGCCAGCCAGAGCTACAGTGAGGCCATGCAAGAAACAAAATGGAAAAAAAAAATGTTTGGAAAGAAAAAAATGTTTCTAAGTGATGCAGATAAAATACTATGGACAAATAACTACCAGCAGCCAGTTATAAGTAAATAAACAAGACAGAACAAAGCGTGGGTAACTGTTGTCTGACAAACGAAAACATCAATAAAGCGAAGGGTGAGACCCTGAGAGGATTTCATGTCTTTGGTTTTCTTTATCTAATTTTCAAGAATAAAAAAAAAAAAGATATGCCTTGTAATCAGGCAAGGAAAAGAGCAAAATAGTTAAAAAAAATATATTAACATATTAGTGGGTATGGGGCAAGTGGTATAAGTTCCTAATGTATCAAAATAATACTAAAAGGAAAGTAATTAAGAGCCATAATTGATTAAATATAATGCCCAAGATAGGACCATTTCTAGCCTGTAGAAATATTTTCTGTGAGATTTTTATGATAAGATCAGGCTATAAAAGTACACAAACAGCATGGTAAAATAATATTAAATGGAAATGTATGCTTAATATATATTAATTATAGATATATATAATATATATACACCCATAGAAAGCACTATAAGGAAGCCTACTATCAGTGATTGAAGGAGTTAACAATTTAATTTTTTTCTGTATTTTCTAGGAGGTTATATTTTGTCACCAGAATAAACTGGTAAAAATGTGTTTGTGCAAAGGGCAGCTCACCATGGCCATTTCTTTTTCCCAGGTCCCTGTGGGGTCTCAGTGAGACCGAGGGACCCTCCCATCTCTGCTTTCCAGTGCCGGTATGACAGGTGAATACCACCACATCTGGACTTTTACCGGGGTGATGAGGATCTGACTCGGGTCCTCATGCTTGGGCGGGAAGCATTCTACGGTGCTGGCAATGCCTCAGCATCACCTGATTACCACAGCTGCAGGTGAGAAATGGCCACCAGCTCCCCAGCTGCCACCACCACCTGCCTCTTGGGTCTGGCCTCTGGTTGAGCACTAGGTTTAGCTGGTGGCCAGCCTCTGCGGCCATGATGAATTTCCAGGGCTGTTTGCCAAATGTTTACATTCACATTCGAGTAAATCACATAAATAGACGGGGCACACACTCATACATAAACACACACACAAGCATTCAGAGAAAGCCCAGGGATCTGAAAATTGTAGAGAATATTGAAATAAGATTTATAAGCCAGAACCTGGGCTATCAGAGTGAAACCAAGCAGGAGGGAACCCTTCTCTCCTGTTCTCAGGCCTGGGACCAGACACCGGTCAGTGTGCTGGAAGGCCTCCCCTACAGGAGCTGGCTTAGAGCTGGAAGTCTCTTTCGGGCTCATTCTTGCCTTGGGCCAAGGCTAGGATCTGAGTTTGACATCGTGTCACATCCTGGTTCCTCGGGGTCTCACAGTCTTACTTGTTGGGGTCCGCGTGCTATGTTTGTAAGCCCCCTCACACTCTATAAAAATTGTTTGCTTGTTCGTTTTTGAGACGATGTCCTGCTAGAATCTAATGTGAGCTATGGTGATCCCCCTGCCTCAGCCTACAGGGTGGCTCTGCCTGCTCTCTCTGGTCTTGCTGTTCCCTGAGACTCCCAGGAGTCCTCACACCCCGGAGCCTCTGCTCTTTCAGCTTCTGGAGCTCACACTCTCGCTCTAGGGCTCTTTTCAAACGTCATCTCAGCAAACAGGTGTCCCTGATGGACCTGCCTCCACAGGCCCTGGTCTTGTCAGTCCCACGGCCCCGCCTGCTTTGCTTTGTCTCTGCCCCGTGGGTAGCATACATCCATTTGCTTCTTCGGCTTTGCGTTTTGAGAGAGGGTCTCCAGTAGCCCAGGCTGGCTTCAGACTCTCTACGAGGATGACCTTGAACCTCAGATCCTCCCGTCTCTAACTCCTGCTTAGGATGGAGAACGTGCTGTGCCACCCAGCGTTCATTTGCTCTTTGCTCGTTGCCTGTCTTTTTACCCCACAATGGAGGTTCCCCAAAGGTGGAGAGTTGATGGTACTGGGTGTTTCTGTGTCCCCAGAGCTAGGCCAAGAGGCTCACTTCATCAGCATCCTTGACTGGGAAATAAGTAAGGGGAGGAGAAGAATGGACCCTTGGCCTACAGGGGACACCTTGTTTAACTCTGTGTGTGTGTGTGTGTGTACATGTGTGTGCATGTATGTGTGCATGAGTGTGTTTGTGTGCATATGTGTGTGCGTACATTGTGTACACGTGGAGGCCTGGTGTCAATGTAAGTGTCCTCCTCAGTCACGCTCCACCTTCCTTTTTGAGGCAGACTCTCTCCATGAACCTGGAGCTCATTGCCTCAACTACGCTGCCTGGCCACTGAGTCCCCAAGCGTTCCCTCTCACTGCCTCTCCAGAGCTGGGATTACCGACGTGTATCGCCATGCCTCACTCTTAGGTGGTTTCTGAGGATCCAAACTTAGGTCCTCATGCGTGTACCCGCTACCCACTGGGCCGTCTCCCCACTCCTACCTCTTGAGCTGACCGAGCAGGATGAGGTTGGGGGCCGTTCCTGTGAGGGTGGCAGTGCCCCCGATACTGGCCGAGTAGGGGATGGAGATGAGGAAGCCCTTCCAGATGTTTCTGCGGTATTCCTCCTCCTTGGAGTCACTGGGCAGCTCCAGCGGGGCCTCTGCATCCTCAGGGTGGCCTCTGTGGAAAAGGACCCGGAGAGAAGCGATTCGGAGCAGTCAGAGCCTCTGGCCCTAGGAGGAGCCAGCTACCTGCTTGCTGCTTCAGGGAGAGACAATGCACCCATGCACGCACCCTCTGCTTGCTGCTTTAGGATTCTTTCGAGAGTCAAAACTGTCTTGGGCCCTGAAAGCCTTCTACTCTACTTGAAGGATTTACCAAACAAACCAAGAGTTAAGCATCTCAGTGGGTAGCAGGGTACACCACGGCATTAAATATTATTTCAATCAAAAGCAACCTAAATGTCCATCCAGGGGCGATTGGCTATGCGCAGAGTCCCTCTCTGCAAATCTCTGTAGCTGTTAGAGTCTGTCTTTGGGGGCCAGCGAGATAGCTCAGCCGTTTAAGGCCCCTGGAACTTAGATGGTGGTAGGAGAGAACCGACCCCGGCACGTTGTTCCCTGACCACCACACGTGTACACACAAGCACACGAACTCGGCAAAATTAAAATGTAGAAATGTAATCTTAAACGTAAACTAAAATTAACTGGGTGATCAGAGAGGCATCTGTTAAGACAAGTGTCTGTATCACGACTCACGTGAGAGGCAACTGAGATCAGCGCCGGTAAAAATATCCGTGTAATGCTGTGTCTCACGGATGCACAAGTATTGCTGTCCCAAATGGTATACACAATCTTGTTTCGCTCCCTTCCTCAGGAACAGAATTAGTGCGTCCCTCCCCTCCCCCTCGCTTTTATTTCTTCTTTGAATTTTCTACATTGTTTTCCTTGTACAGTTTGGGAAAGATTGAAGCAAAGAGTTCCTAATTGCTTCTCTGAGAGACGGTGAGGAAGCCAGAGACCATGATTCAGATGGACTGGCTTACCAGTTCACCGCTGGCGCTGTCTTGTCTCCACTCCCCGGTTCCGGGGTTACAGGGGCATAGTGCCGTGCCTGCCTTTTCTTTACTTGGATTCTGAGGATTTGAACTCACATCCTCAGTGCACGAGGACTACTTTACAGACTGAGCTACCTCCCATCCCTTAAGGGTGCTGCTTCCTTTCTAAGGCTGCTCTAAAGTGTTTCTGTGTGGCTGGAATTAGGAATTGCATGTGCGGAGTCTGAGGTGGGGGGGTGCTGGCCACCTTGTCTAAAGCAATCAGTTCACCGCATACATGTGCCTCAAAACATCTTAATGTTAATTATTCCCCAATAAGTCAGAAAAACAAAAAAAGGAATGAAGATTAAAAAAAAAAAATTGTGCTGGAAAGTGTGATGATGCACGCCTTTAATCTCAGCACTTGGGAGGCAAAGGCAGGTGGATCTCTTTTGAGTTTGAGGCCAACCTGGTCTACAGAGCGAGTTCCAGGACAGGCAGGGCCTACCCAGAAAAAAAAAAAAAAAAAAAAAAAAAAAAAACCTGTCTCAAAAAAAAACCAAAAACAAAACAAAATGACCCAACAAAAAGCAATTGCAAGCTGGGCATGTGGTTCAGCAGGCTTGCCTAACAGGATCGATTGCAAGATGACCTGAGTTTGATCCCTTTGACCCACATGGTAGAAGGAGAAGAGAACTGATTCCTGTAAGCTGTCCTCTGGCCTCCACATGTGTGCTGTGGCTGTAAACACACACACAGAGCCATGGAATGGCAGGGGCTAATGCCTGAAAGAATGTCAAGGCTGGGAACCTCGTTGCAGGCCTCCTGTTTGCCTTTATGTGCGTGGGCGCCTGTGGAGGCCAGAGGTCAACCTTGAGTGTCACCCTCAGGTGTTGTCCACCATTTTGGAGGGCCAGTATTTCTTACTGGTCTGAACTCAAGAAGAAGGCTAGGCTGGGTGGCTGGTGAGCACTAGGAGTCTCCCTGTGGCCGTTATGCTTGGCATTTATTCTCTCTTTCTCTCTCTCTCCATGCATTCTGGGACCAAACTCATCTTTGTGTCTGCAAGACAAGCACTTTACTGACAACCCGCTCCCCAGCCCCACGGATGCTTAAATCTTAGTTTGAGACAATTAAAGGTTTTGAGAGAGTATCTTGTTATGTATCCCAGCCTAACCTCCAACTCCTCATTCTCCCTCCGTCTCCAAAGGGCTGTGATTACAGGTGTATGCGTCTCCACCTGGCTGCTTTTTTAAAAGGAGGGTTTCGCCTAAGCCAGTGAAGTGAAGGGCAGAAACCTGGGCCATCTGGAAAGAATTTGGGGCTGGTGGGGCTGGTTCAGCACCCAGTCCTTTTCAATCATTCCACTGAATCAGGCTCTGGGATTCCCCGGGAATGTGGCCAGAGCTTACCCTTCCGAACTGGCGAGAAACTGCATCTCCGTGGGCACTGTTCGAAGTCCATTTCCCCGCACAGCAGCTGGGAATAAAGAGCAGGCACACTGGTGAATGCAAAGGGCACTAACCAGAAGTTTGCAAATCTTGTGCAGCCAGCCAGGAACAAGATTTGGCCGGAAAGATGGCATGCTATTCACTGAAGAACAAAAAATGAGGCAGGTCAAGAGACAGTGAGGGGGATGGGGGGAGTAGGGAAGGAAAAAAGAACAGAGGGGCATGGGAGGGGGGAAGTAAAACTCAGCACTCTGCATTCCATACTTTGTCCCACCATCTATGCTTGGAGGTGGCTCTACTGCCAGGCTGACTGACAGCCCAGAACTCAAACAGAGGATGACCGGAGGGGCCATTGCCAAAGGCTACCTGGGAAAGATGAGCAATGTGAGGGATGCTCTTCATTCATTCATATTCACTCATTCACTCATTTAATTGTTTATCCAAAACATAGTCGCTGACCCAGTGCACAACACAGATCAAGGCCTCTGCTCCATTGGAGACTGCATTCTAGAATAGGGAAAAAAGCCAAGAAGATAATAGTGACAATTTCAGGCAGCAATGAAATAAAACCAGGCTTAGAAAATAAAAAAAAAAAAGTGACAGTCAAACGCCATAGTGATGTCATATCACTATGAGCTGATGACGTTCCATTAAGCCCAAGGTATGACAGTGGCCAGTTGTACAAAGCCCCATGGGAAAAGGCCCTGGCAAATAGGAACATCAAGTGCAAAGGCCTTGGGGTAGGAGAAGCTGGCAGAGCTGAGGGAGCCGGCATACTGAGTCAGGAAGGGTTAGAGGGTATGGAAAGCCAAAGGGGACTCAAATGCCCTGTGGGTTGTAGGGCCCAAGAAGGAAGCTGTGGAGCTACACTTTGCAGGTGCAGGCTTGGATGGAGTACAGGTGGCCAGGCAACACCGGTGACCACACAGACACGGAGGTTGACCATGCTGTGTGTGTGTGCGTGTCTCTCTCTTCTTTTGAAATCAAGACCTCACCTCTACTGAGAGCAGAGGCTGGAACTCAAGTATGCAAATTTTACGAAATGGGCCAAGCACAAAACCTTCTGACGAGGTACCCACCGATGAGTGGTGGAACCTGTCACCGGGTCTCTTTGGCCGAGATAAACAAGCGTGCTGTGTAACACGGGTGAGTGCCATAGGAAACACAGCCCAGGGAAGGGAATGAGACATCATCTTCAAGAGTCTGGCTGACCGGAAACCTGGATGGTAGGCAACATCCGTCATTCTTAGCTATGTGCAATAGGTGAGGACAGGGCAAGTGGTGACGGATTCTCAGGGTGATGAAGAGTGATTGAAAAGGTCCTGAGGCAGGAAAGTGCTATGTATCAAAGGAAGCCAGTGGGATTGGAGGTGCTCTTCTCTCTCTCTCGCACACACACACAAACACTAATACCGACATGCAAACATGGTCGCTCACTCACCATTTGATTTAAAAAAAAAAAAATGGGAGTTTCCTTCCGGACATCAGGCCATACAGTCAGGCCTGTGCACTGGAAGGAAGGTTCTGGGCTTTTCCTTTGGCCTCCCGTGCTACCTTGGGGATACCCCTCCTTGCCCCAGGCTGCTACTCTCTCGCTGGCAGCAAAGGAGAACAAGACTACAGTGTCTGACAGCGTCACTTCTGCTGTGCTCTGGGTGCCCCCTCCCTCCTGAGCACAGCAGGGGTCCCAGGTGAAAGGCCAGCTCGCAGCTGGGGCAATGGGACACATGTCCACAGACAGTGCACGAGGCCTGGGCCCAGGGCACTGAAGCAGGAGTAAAGGGCTGTTAATAGCACACAGATGGGGGTGGGGCTGGGAGGGTGGGGGAGTCACTCCCCAGGAGATGACTTCCGACCTAGTGACCCCTGGCCCTCACCGTGTCTAGCTCCTACGGAGCCCCACGTATCTGGGTCAGCATCGGACATTGGCAGAACCCGCCAGCCGTAGGCACTCCCTTGGGTGTGAGTCCTACCCAGAGGGTCTGCGGGGGCTCTGCTGTGGGCAGGGCCTTGGTAGTCTTGACAAGACTGGAGGGAGATCCTTTTGTGTAGTAGGGGTTAAGAGCAGCAGGTCTGAAGCCACAGAAGGGAAACTGAGGCCTGCAGTGTCTGCCCAAGTCCTGGTGGTGGGCACGAACACTCCAGGGGTCCCATGCGGAACCTGACTGCTCACTGGCTACATCAGAGTTGGGGAACCCTGTGTGTGTGGTTCCACCAGGCACAGGGGGTCTGGTGTGTGCACCTGTGGGTGCAGATTGGGCACTAGGATGACAGTGCAGTGGTGATGGGGATGAAGGCGAAGTAGGAAAAACAGGAAAACCAAGGCAAGTGTTGCTCACCATTTGCTTTGGCTGTCCCATGGCGTTCCCGTGACCCAAGTGGCCTCAGAGACTGATAGAAACAGGCCTGTGGGGCAAAGTCTCTTGGGTGCCTTTGCTGGGTCCTGGAGCCACCGGTCAGCCCAGAGCTTGGTGCTTACGTAAGGGCTGTGCAGACAAGCCTTGAGCATATGCTACATAGGAGTGCTGGGATCTCCATGTTTGCCATCATACAGCCTCCATCGATCATGGAGTCGGGCTGCTGCCATCCTCTGCACTTGGAAAATGAGGCCTGGAGAGGCAGGTCAAGGTTGGGGCCAAGGAGACCCAGTGAATTAGTGGCAGAGCCAAACCTATGCTATACCCAGGACTGACCTACCAATCTCCATCATGCTATAATTCTTACCATGTGTCCAGGGCCCTCACCCAGCGCCTGGTAGGTCTGACACAGAACTAATGAGTATTCCAACTTCCCTATCCAGCCTCTTGAATTTGCCTCAGGAAAGAACTGGCCTGTTGAGTTAGCACCCCATGGAGGGCCAAACTTTAGGTAGTTGAGTGAACACAATTCATTCAGCACACACAGTGGCATGAAGGTAAGTGTTCATCTCTCCATTGGATGAAGAGGGAAACTGAGGGTTAGCATGGATGCTAGCTGGTCTGTTCATTTGCTTCCTCATTGCCTACGTGCACTTATTGAGCACCTACTATGTGCCGGGTAGTGCTGTAAGACACACAAGAGGGAGCTGATTGCCTCAACTTGACTACAACCATATGGGTGGGACATATTGGCGGCCTGCTCCCGGCAGAGAAAAGACAAAAGAGTTCAGGTTCAAAACCTAGGCAAACCCCTTGCTGGCTGATGGACTCAGGGAAAACACAGCCTTGAGGGAATCTCCTTGGCTGAAGCCTGGGTCAGAACAGCGCTCCCTACAGTGCAAAGTGTAATGGCAAGATGCCACAGAACCATTCAGAAGGCAGCAGCGAAATGGGAGGGAGAGGAGGCGGGGACTCCCTGCAAGGTGGAGGACCTCTTGGGGTCTTGCCTAGTGACCCCCACCCTAGGCCAGCATCTGCTCCCATCTGTTTTTGTGCTCAGAGAGCTGCCTTTTGTTTACCACATTCTGTTGTCTCTGAGAGCCTCCGTTGCTCCTTTAAAATGGGGACCATAAACATGAGGCAGGCTAATGAGAAACTGAGCCAAGTTGACATTCAGGGTCTTGAGGACAGGACAGCTTGCGTTGGCATTGTTGTTGACCTGGCTATGAACTTGGAGCCCTGAGAAACTCCTTGTTCAGATCCGACTCCACTAGCACAAACCCGCACGTCCCCTCTCCTGCCTAAAGCACAGAAACTGAGTGGAAAGGGCCTCTCTCTTCGCTGCCCTGAGCCTCTGAGGCTGATCATTAACCTTCAGGCCTCAGATCCTGCAGCCTGATGACAGATGTCTAGCCTGGGCTCCAGGGTCTCAATCTCCCCACAGCCTGCAGAAGAGGAAGAATGGCTTTAGCTTTCTGTTCATAACCCTCACTGCCTATGACCCCAGGCAAGCTCCCTGTCCTTTAAAGGTCTTAGAGGTTTTGTTTCTGTTATGAGGGACTGGACATTCAAACATTCATGTGGCCATCTTGTGGGAGGCAGGAGAATGGGATGGAAGGAATACAGCCCCACAGTCAGCTAGCTCAACTCAATCACTTAGTACCACAGGCCATGTTGCCATCGTAACCCTTGGGGTCTTCTTCATCCTCTCCTTATTCCTTCCTTCCTCAACTCCCGATTATCAAAATGAGCCTGCCCCCATTCAGACACAGACCCTCAGAAGGGTCCTCAAACAGAGCACAGCTCTTCTGCAGACACATCAGGCAAAACAGAAGGGAGAGGTTCAGCTGAGGTGGAAATGGGTAAAGAGTCAGTGTCAGCTGCCCAGGGTGATGGTGAGGCCATCCTCTCAGAGCCCCACAACTCGGGAGGGAACAGTTTGAATGTCAGGAAGCCAGCATCATAGGATGGGCTTAGGCAGCCTTTGTTTTAGAGCCTGCATCTGGCTCACCTCGTTTTAGCTGACCGCCAACTAAGAATAGCTCTTACAATTTTAGATAGTTCAAAATATCCAGAGCTTGAGAGATGGCTCAGTTAGCCAAGCACTTGCTGTACAAGCATGACGATCTGAGTTTTATTCCCAGTACCCCGTAAAAGGCAAGTGCAGGTGCTGAAGAGATGGCTCAGCAGTTAAGAGCACTGGCTGTTCTTCCAGAAGTCTTGGGTTCAACACCCACATAGCAGCTCACAACTGTCTTTAACTCTAGTTCCAAGGATCCGACACGCATGCAGGCAGAACAAGGCGTGTAAAATAAATAAATCAAAAAATAAAATAAAATGAAAAAAGCTAGGTGCACATGTGTCTGTGAGCCCTGAGCGGGAGAGGCAGAGACAGGAGGATCCTGGCCGAGGCTGGCCCGCCAGCTGTGTTTACAGGGCACTCAGGTCCATCAGGAGACCCTGTCTCAAAGGACACGCTGCATGTGTGCCTCCCTCAAAGACGTATGAACATGTACAGTGCACACAGAAACACCCAACATCCATAGAACGTAGAAGAACAACATTTGGGGATGACAAAATTACAGGGAACCTTAACTTTGGCTCCCATACACGGGTTTTTCTTAGCGTGTAGCCAGCTGTCGGCACCCTGCCACCTTCTTCAAAGGCAGAGCTGGGAACTTGCGACAGAGTGGCCCACAAAGCCTAAAATGTTTACTGTCTGGTTATGTTTACGGGGAACAACTGCCAACGCCACTACCTGGCCCATCTCCTCTGTTGCCTGGAAGACTTTGTCCCTGGGACAGTCCCTCTCCGGGATTTCACCAACAGCGACACTCGATGCGGCACTCCGCCTCTCCAAACCCCATCCTGCAAAGCGCTTCTACTTCTAGCTTTCGGGGTCATGCGTGAGGGGTAAACACCCACACTTGCCAGACGCGGGCAGCCTATAGACAGTGTATGGATCAGTGTGCCATTTGCGTGTACATATGTGTGCGGGTGTGCCTGTGCGTAGGTGTGAATGCGTATGCAGTGTGCATGTGTGAGCGACTTGCATGTGTGCATGTGTGTGTGCACTATACATGTGTGTACATGTGTGCACAAGTACATGCATACATAGTACATATGTGTGCATATGTATACATGTCTGTGCATCTATATATGCAATATACAAGTGCATGTAAGTATGCACGTGAACATGTGCACGTGTGTGTGTGTGTGTGTGTGTACATGTGTTCAGGTATATGTGTGCAAGCATGTTTGTGTATGTGGAAGCCAGAAGTGAACCTCAGGTATTGTTCTTTTTCAGGAGTCATCCCTTTTTTTTTTGGACATAGAGTCTCATATGCTGTGCTGATCAGCCCAGAACTCCTTATGTAGACCAGGTTGGCCTTGAACTCACAGAGATGCCTCTGCCATTGGAGTGCTGGGATCAAAGGCCAAAGGCTTGCACCACGGTGTTTGGCATCGTGGGGTTTAGGGGGGCAGGGACACTGGCCTGGGACTCACCAGTTTGGCCAGGCTGCCCGGCCAGCAAGCTCCAGGGGTCCACCTGTGCTCATGTCCCCAGCGCTGAGACCACAAGCACACGCTACTTCACCTGGCTTTCTAACATGGGCTCTGAGGGTGGAACTCAGCTCTTCATACTTGTAGGACTAGCGTGTTCCAGGATGAGCTAGTCAACAACACTGCTGGCGTGGCTCCATGGCTAACGCTCCCCGGGGTTTCAGGAACAATGCTTGCTGTGTTTATTGGCCTGAGTGACACCTCTGTGGAGGTACTCAGCCGCTTTTGTCAAGGCGTGGCTTCCCCCTCTCATCCCAGGTGCCATCTCCCACTCTCACCATTACAGTCATATCAACACAACAGGGGACAGAGACTGGGAAGGGCAGAACCACAAGAGCCCGAATGTTTCCACTAATTTCTCTCAGACCGAACTTAGACACCCGACCACCTAATAGGCGGGGGAATGTGGGAAACGCAGCCTTTCTCAGCACAGCATGTGTGGGATGTAGGGTCTGTGATTGTGGAAGAAATGACGCCAGAGATGAGCTGGCAGTTTCGACCCAGGCAGGGATGAAGCTTAGGCCTCTCTTAAAAGTATATTGACAGCCAGGCATGGTGGAGAACACCTGTGATCCCAGCACTCAGGGAGGCAGAGGCAGGTGGGTTTCTGTGAGTTTGAGGCCAGCCTGGTCTACAAAGCAAGTCCAGGACAGCCAAGGCTACACAGAGAAACCCTGTCTCGAAAAACGGAAAAAAAAAAAAAAAACCCAAAAGTATATTGACATCAATAAGACAAAGTAAACCAGCTACTTTCTCACCATGGGTTGGGGTGAATGACATCGTTATCAATGAAAACTCCTCATGTCCTTGTGCCTCCAAAGTGACCCCACAATGTCTTTCTCTGATTTCGTCATGTCTGAAGAAAATAGCTCTCTATTTTTTAAGCCACTTGAAGGCAGACATGCTTTCTATTGCTGCCGAAAGAACTCTGGCCACACTTCATGGGTTCAAAATCAGGCTTAACCTCCCTCTGTCTATGTGACCTAGGGCAGTTGCTTCGGTCTGAACCCCACACAGTCATCCGAAAACACAGCATCTGCTTGAAGCCCAGCGTCAGGGGATAGAGAGGTCAGACCCCTCAGGCCAGTTCAATCTGTGACAGGAGCATTCTTCCAATGAGATCACCCCTCCTGCCAGCCCCTACTCTGAGACAGAGGTCTCACCGTGTAGCTCTGGCTGGCCTGCAACTCCCTGAGGTCAGCCTACCTCCTGAGCGATGAGATTACAGACCGGTACCACCCCTACCTCCTTCATCGCCTCCCCTCCCTCCCCGGCCCCAGCTCATTATGGAGAACACTGCATTTAACAGCACCGCATTGCTCTCCTTGCCAGTGGGCTGGAGAATTCTGTGAGCATTTGCATCTGGAAAATAAGCTGCAAACATTCATGTAACTTGATTAAGTTCTTGCAGGATGCCCTTAAGAAGGGCTAGCCTGGACCCTACTCTAGCCAGCAGTGCCGGAGAATTTGCACAGCTCCTGTTCCCACCAGTCCTGGGAGTTGGCCATCGGATGCCTCCCTGCCTCACTGTTTCCTGGGTCTCAGTGTTTGTGAGCACCCATTCAAATGCTTGCAAACAAAATGAACTCCATCACCTGCTCCCCGATGCATAGGAAGGCGCCTTAACCCATTGGTTAGAATACAGTGAATGGGAGTCTAAGAAGTCCAGGGTACCATGGTTTGGCGTATCTGATTCTCAAATAACTGTCATCATCGAAAATAATTAGCCCACAGCGTGTGCCCAGCACGTGTGTGTGTGTGTGTGTGTGTGTGTGTGTGTGTGTGTGTGCCCAGTGGCCTGTGGACGTCCGATGCCCATCCCCCCAGCAGTGGTGTGGACCCTGGCACCTGCCCAGACACACCTGTGCTCTCACTGCCTTCCCGGTGAAGATCCTTCCGAGCGTCACGCTGGCCAAAGAGGCTCTTGAGGATGGCGCTGGCGATGGGCAGCATCATGGCAGTGGAGGCTGTGTTGCTCAGCCACATAGACAGGAATGAAGTGGTCACCATCATCCCCAGGATGAGCCTGGGTGGCAGAAAGAGGGATCTAGAACTCGGGCTCCAAGAGGGACTATGGTCTTCTAGTCCTGGGGGAGTCTACGCAGTTGGTTTTACAGGCGGGAAGTTGGGATTCAGACAAGGCGGATGAGTAGCAAGCGTGGGAGCAACTGCCTAGGCTTATCTTGTTTGATCTGGGGTGTGCACGATGATGTACGTTTGGTTCACCTGAATGTGGACTCAGGTCACCCCTGAACCTCCTCGCCGGCCTTAGGCTTGTTTTGGATCCAAGGGAAACATGACTCATTGTGCTTAAAGAGCCTGACCACAAAGTCAGCCCCAGCCCGGAGTTTCCCTGCCTTGCCTCCAGGACCTTAATGGCATCCATTCCAGAATGAAGCGAGTAGGCTCTAGAATCTGCCACCTGTCCCTTCTTGTTCTCCATTTTTGCCTGTCCCTACTGCTCCCTCACTAGCATGAAGCCCACCTGGAGCCTTCTGTTCCTGCTCTCTGGTCCACCCCCACCAGCTGAATCTAAGCGTCACGGGGTTTCCACTGGAGCTTTTAAACTGCAGTATTAAGGAGATTAAGCCAAGGACCCTAACCCTGTCATTCCCTATGACTCCAGCAGCTTCTGGATTCATCTCTTTCTGCCTCCTCTTAAACCAGTTTCTTCCTGGCTCCCTCGCTGCATCTTAGCCTTTCTGTCCATTTTACCCAACCAAACCCAGAGACTGCCTCCTCCAAGAAGTAACCCCCTTCCTCTCCGGGACTTCACACTTGGCATTAAACGCAGCCTTTATCTGAGACTGTCCCACAGGTCTGCTGATGGGAACAGAGCATTCAGTAGTGTGAACAGTACTGTGTTGCTGAAACACGTTGTCAAGAGAACTTTCCTATTGCACTCTTAAGACAGTGGTTCTCAACCTTCCTAATGCTGTGACTGTTTAATACAGTTCTTCACGCTGTGGTGACCCCCCCCCCCAACCATAAAATTATCTCATGGCTGCGTAACTGTAATTTTGCTACTGTTGTGAATCAAAATGTAAATACCTGTGTTTTCAGATGGTCTTTGGTGACCCCTGTGAAAAGTTGTTTGACACCGCCCAAGGGGTCAGGACCCACAGGTTGGGAACCACTATAGGTTGAGGTGTCAGGGACAGTTAAACCTGACACTAAAAGATGGCTGTCGTTAGGCCCGCCGTGGGAGCACACTCTGTGCTGTATTATTAGAGGTTTGTGTATGGGCACGCTGGCACAACTGTGTGCTAAAGGGACTGTTTGGATAACTGCATTTTGCTGTCACTGAGCTGTGCATCATGCAATTAACCTTCTAGAAAGGGTGAGCATCAGCAGGCTGCCATAGGGTTCATGGGAAAACATTAATACAGGCAAAATGTGCACCCACACTCACACATCTAGATAGAGGAAAACAACGCTCTTTTCTTCTTAAGACAGGGTCTCACCATCTATGTAGCCCTGGCCGGCCTAGAACTCACTATATGGATCAGGCTGGCCTTGAACACATGACGAGCCACCTGCCTCTGTCTAAAAAGTGCCTGGGGTAAAGACATGCACCACCATGGCCCAGCAACACTCCTTTTTTAAGGTACCCAATCATCTGACAACAAAAGATCACATCCTCTCAGAGAGACTGAGGCCATATCTGGTTAGTCTCTGTCTGTCTGTCTGTCTGTCTGTCTCCCTCCTGTCTCAGGCTCTCATTCTCCTCCTGGTTCCCCCAGACTCCTCCACACCAGCAGCCAGCGAGAATGGTAGCTGGCAGTCAGCTCTATCACTCGAGTCTGAGTGATCCCCTGTACTTGTCTACTTAATCCCATGAGGACTTGCAGAAGCAGGTGCTGACACCTGGCTGCACAGAGGTGGGTGCTACCACTTTCTGGAGTAGAGGGTCTTGGCCTCAGCCGAAGGAGCCTAGTGACACTATTCTAAAATCCTCATGCACAAGGCACCAAGGGACCAGCAGTCCAGATCCATCTCCAGTGATATTTTTATTTGATTTGATTTTATTCCTTTTTTGAGACAGAGTCTCACTCTATAGCTCTGGCTGTCCTGGAACTCACTATGTAGACCAGGCTGATCTCAAACTCATAGAGATCCACCTGCCCTCTTCTGCCTCCTGAGTGCTGGGATTAGAGGCCGTGCTAGCATGGCTGGCTCGGGATGACTTTTAAGCATATTGAAGACAGCTGTCACCAAATCAGCTCTACACTGCACAGGTGACTGTCAAGAAAGCAGTAAACCAAAACATGTGAGAAATGACAGTTTCTTGGTTCAGTGGTCAAACAGGAAGAGTTTTGCCCCCCCCCCGATCCCACGGACCCCAGGCTGCTCTGCAGCCTGGCCTTACCTGGCAGGCTGGACCCCAATCAGCATGAGGACCTTGAGGGCGATTCTCCGGTGCAGGTTCCATTCCTCGATGGCACTGGCCATGATCAGCCCACTGAGGAAGAGGAAGTTGGTGTCGAGGAAGTACTGGGGGCAGACCTTGCTGGAGGGTAGAATGCCCAGGAAGGGGAAGAGGACGATGGGCAGAAGAGCCGTCACCGACAGCGGCAGGGCCTCTGTGCACCAGTACACCGCCATGAGCAAGATGACATACAGGCAGCGGCCCTCCTGTGTGTGGAGCAGGGGACAGACACTTGGTCAGTGGCTTGTGCAGGCCAGAGGCGCTGGCGAGGGGGCGGGGGGGGCAGGAAACGAGGCTCATGCTCAGGGCAGCAGTGGACAGCATCGTCTTGTTCAGTTATAAAACATGGGAAGTTCTCTGTGAACCGCAGACACTGTCGGAAATATACAAACCTCCCTCCCACTATCTCTGTGGGCAACGCTGAGGATGAGAATGTTACTTTTAGAGACTTGTGAAAAGTTCTGGAAAGGCAGTGTGTGTGTGAGGGGGTGAAACAAGGAAACCAATAAAGAGTACTTAGAGGGTTTCCCCATGGACACCTGAATCATGATTCTGGTGGGAACGCTGGAAGTGGGAACAGATGTGTCCAGCCTTTTGACCTTGGGAAAAGATGCTGTCTGCAAAGATCATGCTTGAAAGTCACGTAGTCCAGTTACAAAAGAGAGAGAGAGACAGACAGACAGGGAGAGAGAGATGAAAAGAAAGAAGAAACCATCTCTTAATGTTTTAAGTAGTTCAGTAAATTGTGCAGGGCTGCGCTGATGGCGATCCTCAGCAGTTCCGTGCTGTAGAGCGTGTCTTAAGCTGTTCTCTAAGATGTAAGACATCTGGCGCGTTTCACAGCTGATGCCTCGGTATCCCTGGTTGAGGATTGTTTCTGGGAGCACCAACCTGAAGCATTTCCAAATGCCCCTGGGACAGGCTTGAGCAAGCCTCCCCAGCCAGAGAGGCTTGCCATGGAGGCAGTCAGATGCACACTCTCCATCCGGAACAAAAGAGCCCACACTCGCTGAGCTGATGCGTGCCTTCTGCCCCGCTCTGCACACCACCTGACGTGAGAGTCAGTTCCGGAAAGGTGGTCCCGGGGATGTCTGGGTATAACATCAGCGACTCTTGAATCCGCCTGGAGCATCTTACATCTTTGCATTTGGGCAAAAGGACACATGTATAAGATCGTTCAGTTTTATCTTGGGTCTGATGCAAGACATTCAGACTGCTAGACAGCAGTTTGGGTTACATGCTGTTTGGGCTGTTTGGTGCCTTGCTACCCCCAGATCACAGGCTTCCAGCTTCCACTTATCCAGGCGCATGCAGCGAGACACTCACCCCCATGGAGGTAAGGTTTGGCGGGGTTTTTTTGTTTGTTTGTTTTGTTTTTTAAGTTTTATTGTCTTTATTTTTCACTTTGTGTGTTTTGCCTGCATGTGTGTCTGTGTGAGGGCATCCAATCCCCTGGAACTAGACTTACAGCTTTTGAGCTGCCATGTGGGTGCAGGGAATTGAACCTGGGTCCTTTGGAAGAGCAGCCAGTCCTCTTAAATGCGGAGCCATCTGTCTAGCCCCAGGAGGCAAGGTTTATAGCAGAGTTGGAGCTGTGTGAATAGACAGTGTGGGAGCTGAGTGTGAAAATGGCAGAAGCCAGTGTCTGAATGTGTGTGTCCCTCCCCTTCCTCTGTTGACACCCAGTCCCTGCTGTGGTGATAATAAGAGGTGGGGTCCTTAGAGATGGGACTGGTATCCTTGTGAGAGGCCTTCAGGTCTTCTGCTCTGTGAAGACTCCTAAGTACCTCTCTGAGGCTGAGCACTGCCTTCACCAGGAACCCAATCACCGACTTCTCTATCTTGGACACTTGCTGGGCTGCTAACCAGAAGCATGGAGGTTCCCGGCTTTCCGGGCTGTGAGCGGTAAACCTGTGTTTATGAACTATCCAGGCTGAGGTGTTTTGTTACAGAAGCTCAAATAGACTGAGACACTCCTCCTACCCAGTTTGGCAACATCATGCCTGCTCATTCGGAGAACTTCCGGCCTCTTCTGGCTTTAGATGCCTCTTGGGCAAGACTTCCAGTGAAACAGCCTTCTGGGACCTGTTCCCACTGGGAAGTATGGTGGACTTTCTAGCAAGATGACGAGGGCATATTGAACGCCGTCTCCCAAGCTTCCTAGTGAGAGTCCATCATCCTTGCCCTAACCTCTGCATCCTGGGTTACTGTCACACCTCAATTTCAGCTCCCGGCTCTGGGTCCTTCGAAGAACCGTTCTAAGGATGAAGCCTTCCAGGAGACAGCAGCAGCCTTTGAACGTGGGGTGAGAGGTATCTGGACCAGGGAAGGAGAGGGGAAGTCTTCTGCCTGTGTGGGAAGCTTCTTTTGTTGTGCTCTCCAGCTGGACCCAGAGCCTGTCTAAACCAGCTCCAGCTAACAAGGGCGAACATTGTTTGGCCAGCTTCCATTTGCTACGTTCTGAGGGAGACAGATGGGAACACAGGTTGCTCTGTTTGGTCTGGTTTTTTATTTTGTGAAGAAGCAGGGATTGAACCTAGGGCTTTGCACATGCTGGGACCTCCTCTAACTCTGAGCTGTGTCTCCAGACCTCTTTTTTTACTTTTGTAGATGTTAAGACGGGATTTCACTAGCTGTCTAACTAGTTTCACTTGTTAGCCTTGAACATATGCCATTACACAGGCTGGCCTTGAACTTCTAATCCTTCAGTCTCAGACTCCCCAGGTATCTGAGATTACAGGCCTAAGTTGCCATGTATACTGGGAAGCATGTATTTTCTGTTTTGAAAATGCATGTATGTGGATGTGTGTGTGTTCATGTGCATGTTGGTGTGTGTGTGTATAGAGGCTAGAAATGTGGTCTACCTCCTTTGAGACAGGATTTCTCATTGGCTGGAGCTCATCCATTAGGCCAGATTGGCTGGCAGTGATCTCTGGGGCCTTCCTCTCTTGCCTCCCCTGGGATTGTGCTGGGATTGTGAGGAAAGGCCTCCATGTCATCTCTCTGTGTTGGTTCTGGAGACTGGGTTCAGGCCTTCGTCTTTGCAAGAGAAGCAGTTCCCCAGCTGGGCTATCTGCAGCACCAGTCACACATTGACGTTCTTGAGAATGAAAGATGTCACAAAGGACGTGGTGCATTCTGAATGGGCAGAACCCCTGTGAAAGCGGGTTTGCCAGGGGCTGATCAAGCCTTATGGAATCTCTATCAGATGCCCAGGCACATCCTCTAAGGCAGTGTCAGATATTCTCAAGGAGAGTTCTAAGGCCAGGGAGGTTGCAAACAACTGTTCCCCTTGGCATGTGCTAAAGCTCCATGATAGATGCATTGAAAGCTGACAAGTTACAGACTCATAGTTGCATTTGTTCAATGCAGTCTTTCAAAATGCATTCATCTGCAGTTCTCCTTAAATATGCCCAGCTTGTACTTCCATGGAAACAGCTAGGAAATCAGCCCAACTGTATGTAATCTGGGACGATGCCAGCATTCAGCAATAGTTCCTTATGCTGTCTAGCCAGTTAGGACCAAAATTCTGTGAGAAGAGGGTTCCTGTTTGTTTTTTCTCATTCTCTTCTGTGTCCCAGAACCTAGCACAGTCCCCAACATACTTAATCTTGATATCTGCAGTGGAGAATGGGTCAATAAGCATATGAATAAGCAAATAGGAATGAGATAGATGGATGGACAGATGGCTGGCTGGCTGGCTGGATAGATGGATGGATGGGTAGATGGATGAGTGGATGGATGGATGAGTGGATGGATAGATGAGTGGAAGCATGGATAAGTAGATGCATGGATGAGTGGATGGATGAGTTTATGGACGGATGGATGAGTGGATGGATAAAGGAATAGATGGATGGATAGGTAAGGGGCAGATAGATGGTTGGCTGAGTGGGTAGGTGGAAGGAAGGGTAGACAGGTATTCTTGGCTAGGCTGGTATCCTAGGCTGGAGCTTCAGGATACAGAAGCAGAAAGGAAACATCTGCCCTCAGCTGCAGCAAGGCAGGTGGCTGCAGTCATGGCTGTAGACTCCTAGTCACAGCACAGTACTCAGTAGCAGGTATGGCCCTAGGAGGTTCCTGCAGGAGATTCCGGAGGAATCATTAGCTACAAACCAAACAGGGAAATGGGGAAGACCTTTCAGGAGGAGCTCTCAGCTCTATTTCAGAAAATGCACACTTCCACAGAGTCCGAAGGTCAAGCCTGCTGCTGTCCTGCAGCTTTGGGGTATTTGTTTCTCATCCTGTGCTCACACCCCAGACAAGAATTGTGAGGTGGTAGAAGAATCTTGCAAATTGGACCCTCTGGCTTGTGTATGTGTGTGTGCGCACTTGCTCTCATATAACACCCAACCTAAAACTTTCAGGCAATAGTGTGGCTTCCTGGCTAGTAACACTCAGGCTGTAACTCATCAGACAAAGACTGAGAGGAGACAACACAGGAACCAGAGTGTCAGAAAGGCGATTAAGAGGAACTGAACAACCTCATGCCGACAAGTTAAGAGAAACAAATATCTTGAAAGTGTAACTCACTTAGTTCTAAGAAACAGAACTAGAAAAATGAAACATTCTAACATCTTCTTAAGAAATCAAACCAATCATTAAGACCCTTCCCCATCCCTTTTCTCCCTTCCCCTGCCCTGCTGGCTTCAGCCATGGCTCTGCTGAAATAGCGGAATTGGCAGGGCTTGTGTCTTGCACACATTCTTTGAGAAGAGAGAAAGAGGGGTGTTTCCTGTTTTGGTCTATGGGCCCAGTATAACCTGGGGCTGCCTTGTCAAGGGTATTACAAGAAAAGAAAGTAAAATGGAATAGTGTTACAAGAACAGAAAGTAAAACGGAATAGGGTGTTACAAGAAAAAAGTAGAATAGAATAGTTATGAGGGTGCACAGAACTACCCGGAAACATCAGTCTGAGAAGCCCTGAGTCCTGCTGCTTTCTCTGCCCTGAGTCCTGTCACCAGGCAGGTGTGTTGTGACAGCCAGCAACATTTCCAGCAGGGCTTGGGCAGCGCTCGGCTCAGGAATATGTTTCATTGTTTTTTCTGGTTAGCAATTGCGACAGTGCTGGTGAGCCCAAATATCTGCCTTCCCCCAGCTGAGCATCCCATGGGCGATGGGTTCAGGTTTGCCAGGGAACTGATGAGAGTCCCTGCCCCTTGTGTACTTTCAACCAAGCTGGGTCTGGAGGACAGAGCTTACTCAGAGC